TCATTATATTGTATACCTAAAATGTACCAATGATTAAAATTAATAATTGATAATGCAAAACAGGAAGAAAAGGTCCAAAGGGGTAGAGAAAGTGGAGGAGGGCTAGGGGAAAGGAATGAAGGGATAGGAAAAATTATGAGAAATGAAAAGCAGGAAGCAAAGTCTTTATAAATAGGGAAGGGTGGAGGGGGTGAAGGGAGGGCAGGGAATGGGAAAAAAAAAAAAAACAAGAGTTCATTACTCCATATCCCCACCAACACATGGTCATGTCAGGCTTAAATTTTTTGTCCAACTCTTTGTGATTTTGATTCCCATTTCTCTTATCAGTAAATTTGAGCATCTTTCATATATTTTTTGGCATTTGAGTTACCTCTTCTGGGAAAAAGAAAATGGAAGGAAAAAGTAGAATTTACTCTGGTGTAAATAATGTTCTTGTCCAATTTCCAATTGGGTTACTATTCTCTTCCTGAGTGATTTTTAGATGTTCTTTATGCATTCTTCATTGTAATTCTTAAATTGTATGTTTGTAAAATTTCTTCTTCCAATCAGTGATTTGTATTTTTACTTTCTTAATGCTGTCCTTTCATAAAGAGAAGCTTCACACTCCAAGATAGATGAATTTATCAGCCTTTTATGTTATGGTTGTGCCGTATGGGTTCAATTTAAGAAATATTCCCCTATCAGAGATTACAAACAAATTATCCTAAATGTTTTTAAATTTTCCTTTTCACACCTGAGTCTCTAATCGTTGTCTTTGTGAGTAGATTTCTTTACCTCATGCACTGATTAGCTTTCTCATCACTGAGAAAAAGGAGAGATTTATTTTGTCTCACAGCTTCGGTGGGTTTGATCCATGAGAGAAGAGAGAAAAGAAAGGAGCCAGGAATGAGAATATATATACCCTTTCAGATCACACCTCCAGTAAACCACCTCTTCTAAACAGGCTTCACTTTGTATCAGCACATTCAGCTGTGAACTCATCAATGATTAATCTACTGATAAGTATAGTGCTCCGTGACCCAATCACCTTTCAGAATCCCTTTCAGTCTGAACAAATGAGACTTTTGGGGTACATATTAGATCTAAACCATAACACCTCAGAACCTCCCTCAGTTGTTTTTTTTCGTACTGGGGATCGTACTTGGAACCTTGCACTTGCCAGGCAGGCAGCAGAACCACTGAGCTAAATCCCCGGCCCCCTCGGTTGTTAATATGCACTGTGGGCCTCCCTGACAGCAGACAGAAGGCAGCATTTTCCTGTTGTATTTGGCCTTGGGTTTCTCCCTCAGAGGCATCTGTAGAGATACCTTGGAAACAACTATTCTGAATAGTAGCAATGGAATCCCACTTTATCCTATACCTAAAAAAGTTGCTGGGACACTTCCTTGTGCTTTTTTAAATTAATGTGGGAAGAAATTTTTAGCAGCTGTACTTCAGACAAAGGACTACTATCGAGAATATATAAAGAACTGAAAAAAATCAGACCCCCCAAATTCAAAGACCCAATTCAAAAATGGGCATCTGAAATGAACAGACATTTCTCAGACAAAGAAGTAAAAACAGCAAATAAATATATGAAAAAATGTTCAATGTCACTGGTCATTCGAGAGATGCAGATGAAAACAACACTGAGATTCCACCTCACCCCACAAAGAATGGCTGCTATCAAGAAATCAATAACAAATGCTGGCGGGGGTGTGGAGAGAAAGGAACCCTTCTCCATTGTTGGTGGGAGTGCAGACTGGTGCAACCACTGTGGAAATCAGTTTGGAGATACCTCAAAGAACTAGGACTAGAGGTCCCATTTGACCCAGGTATTCCCCTACTGGGAATCTTCCCCAAAGAATTAAAAGAATCATACCACAGCAATATATGTGCACCTATGTTTATAGCGGCACAGTTTGTAATAGCTAAAGCTTGGAAACAGCCCAAGTGCCCATCAACTGGAAAATGGATAAAGAACATGTGGTTTTTTTATAAAATGGAGTAGTACTCAGCCATAAAGAATGAGAAACTAGAGACATTTATAGCTAAATGGATGCATATTGAGGCCATCCTCTTAAGTGAAATAAATAGGACACACATGTGTAAATACTGAATAGTTTCTCTAGTGTGAGAAACTGAAAGTGTAAATAAGGATGAAAATGATTAAAATGAATAATTGATAATTTGAAATAGGAAAAGGTCCAAGGGTTTGGGGGAGGCGAGAGGGGAAGGGGAAAGGGAAGAAGGGAAAGGAAAAATATGAGAAAGAAAAAAAAAATGGAATCAAAGTCTGTGTAAATAGGGAAGGGTGGAGGGAGTGAAGGGTGCACAGGTAATAGGAGAAAAAATAAGAGCTAAGATACATCGTGTTCAGGTACAAACACCCAATGGTAAATGTAAATGTATTTTATACCTAAAATGTACCAATAAATATATAAATAAATAAATAAAAATAAAGACAATTATTACCTTAATACCTAAAGTAAAATGTGGAAAAATAAGCAAAATCATTATGTACACAGAATACTAGCTGGTACAAAATATAATGTGTAAAAATTTTAAAATATAAAATAAAATATAAAAATTTAAAAATATAAAAAATATAAGCTTTTTATCAAAAATACAGTGAGTAAGGTATATAAACAAGCAACAGACTAAGAGAAAATATTTTTCCAGAACACATACCTGAAAGGGATATCATATCTAGAATACATAAAAATATTCCACAATTAAGTAATGAAAAGACATATAACCTTTTTTTTAAAAATGAACAAAAGACTTGAAGACAGTTTATTCACAAATTAAGATACACAAATAGCCAGTAAAAACATGAAACTAGTCATCATAGGAATGTAAATTAAAATCTTAGTGAAATACTGCTATATATCAATTCAATTGGCTAAAATTCAGAAGACTGACAACATCATGTGGTGGTAAGGTTTGTAGAGTGGGACTTACCTGTAGTTTTGCCGAGAATATAAAACTCATGTAACTACACTGGAAAACAAACTGGAAGTTTTTTCTAAACTTAAACATAACAACTACTCTGTAACCGAACTACTATGCTCTGAGTTACTTACCTGAGAAACATAAAAGCATAGCTCACAAAAAGACTGGTACAATGGACCCTTAACTTACAAACTCAGTTAGTTTGCAAGGGCTGCTTGTAACTCAAATTGGTCAATTGAAGGTTCAGGCTCCTCTACACAGCCTTCCAAAGTCTCTCTCCTGTATCCAGGGAAATCTCAGTGTCCTTAGAGAGATATTGGCCCAGGATTTCTCAACCCCACACAAGAAAGGATGTTGTAATGTTTCTTCCAGAACTCTTTAAGGGTTAAATCTTTATCTGAGACCATCTGAAAGCACCAGTGGCCAGCATTCAGGTTGTAACTTAGGACTTTGGTTGTAAGTTAAATCTAAAATCCCGGTCGTAACCCAAGTTGTTCATATGTCAGGCCAGTCATAATTCAAGGGTCCACTGTATAACCTTTAGAAACGGATTTATTCGTAATAAGTAAAACAAAACAAAACAAAAAAGAAACAACCAGTTGTTAATAGTAGAAAGATAAATCCTGGTGTATCTGTACATTGAATAATATTTAATAAAATCTTCTAATGGATTACTTATAAATGTAACCTGAATGAATCCCAAAAAGATGGTGATTAAAAGTATCATGGATGAAAGTGTATATACTCTGGTGTCATGTGTATAAAATTCTAACAGGCAAAACTAACCTTTAGGTTTCTTAGAAAGGAAAAAATCAGAATAGTGGTTCTAGAGTGATGGAGTGGAAATTGATTGGTGTAAGGCATTTGAGTGATTTGGTACTGGCCAAGAAAAAGATTGTGGGACTAGTTGTATAAGAGAGGAAATCCCATCAGGCATGGTGATGTTATCCCAGTACTCTGGCAGTGGAGGCAGGAAGATCACAAGCTTGAGCCCAGCCTGAGCAACACAGTAATTTAGCAAGACCCTGTTTCAAAATAGAAAAGAAATTTTTTTTCTTTTATAGGCTGGAATGTAGTACCTAATTGTGGAGTTTCCTAGGATGAACCCCCAGTACTGGATTAAAAAAAAAAATCTTCACAGCATAAGATTGTTTCGAGATTTATGGCAAGGAGCCACCATGTAGAAAATGAGGAAGGCAAAGAACCCCAGGGGTAGTGGAAGATTAGTAAGGGCCAGATAGTTCCAAAGGGCACAGTAGCACTTGGGCTGTCATAACCACATACAGTACTTTGTTTTCCTTGGCCTGCAGGTGCTGAATACACAAAGCAGACAGGCTAATATTGGCTAAAATTTGCTTCTTTGAACTATTTTTTACATAATTAGGCATATAAAAATTTGAATTTGGCATTGGCAAGCTTTTGTTCTGTTGGGTCACATCCTGCAGTAAAGAAATAAACAGCCTAGGGGTAAACAACCTAGAGACCATCTTGAGCTGATTTATATTACAACCAAAAAAGGAGCAAGAAGGAATTCTTTGGAGTAATGATAATTTTGTATATCTTGGTAGAAGTGTAGATTACACAATTGAATACATTTGTCAATGTTTAATGAGTATCATATTTAAGATTCATGTGTTTCACTGTGTTTTATAACAAGAGAAAAAATCTAAATAAAACTTGTGTTCTAGTTATTGACATATATGCTGAAGTATTCACTGTTTAAGTACTCAGTACTGAAATACCAAAAATAAAATAATGACTAAGTAGGATAGATGGTTGGCTTAGATATATGGAACAAGTATAGTAAAATTTCAGTGATAGAGACTAGGATGGGTAACATATACTTATGTTTAGTATAAAACTGTCAACTTTATGTTTCAAAAATTTTATAATGAAGTTTAAAGACTACTGTGTGAAGAATAGGCTGGGAAGTCAGTAAGGATACTGAAATATTTCATTCCATTTAAAAAATTACAATTTCTTTACCAACTGTAAGTTATGCTTTCATTTTTTAAAAAGTTGGTGCTACAGTTGATCATTTGACTGATCTATGGCATTTGTCACAGGGAAAGTCCCTCTGCTGGTGTTGACACCTGTGCGTTTCTGTCATCATTTGTGTGCTCCAGTAGGACTCTGCTGATTGATGGCCGGGTAGAACTCAAAAGAGGCCTGCAGAGGCAGGAGCGGCATCTTTTCCTATTCAATGACCTGCTTCTTGTAGTCAAAATCAAGTAAGTATACTGTCTTCTAATTATCACTTAAAAATTGCATTTCTGCTGACAGTGATACCCTTTCTACTCAATGCTTTTATAGTAAAAATGTCTGGCCTCTATTACTAAAGTGAGTTTTATGTTTGCTTTGTTTATGCAAAAACTTTCGTTAGTTTATTCACTCAGTAAATATTTAGGTCTTGTTTGTGCCATACCCTGAAAAAATGTAGGAGATACAGTGAAGAATGTGATGGTTATGGTCCCTGCTGTTTCAGAGCCTACAGTCTAATGTGGGAGCTTACATTTTTATATATGTGTGGTGAAATTACAGTCTGTACTTAGTACTATGAAGAAAATAGGATGCTAGATGAAGCAAAAGATAGAGTATGTAAGCCAGGTGCAATGGTACATGCTTGTAATCACAGCTCCTGGGGTGGCTGAGGCACGAGGATCTCAAGTTTGAGCCCAGCCTAGGCAGCTTTGTGAGACCCTGTCTCAAAATATAAAGGGCTGGTGATATAGCTCAGTGGTAGATTTTACTCAGCATATGTGAGGCCAGAGTTCAATTCCCAGTACCATGTATAAAAAACAGCATTTGTTAAGTCGTTAAAGTCAGAAGCAAAAAAATGAAGGTTGAAAAGCACTAACCATTGGGACACTGGGAAGATGAGGCGTATGACAGTTACTCTAAAACATAACAGATTAAAGCTATAAACTGTTGTGCACTTTCTCTGAGTCCTGTAATTGGGAGTGCTTATCTAGGTTGTTCTGGCTTAATGGCTCTCAAGAGGTTTGACTGGAGAATCCACTTCTAAACTCACTCATGAGGGTGCCAGCAGCCTCAGTTCCTCACTTGGCTATTGGTTAAAGGCTTTAATTCCTCTCTACATGAGCCTCTCCACCCTGCTGCTCATAATACTGTAGCTTGCTTCCTTTGGAATGAGAGATCTTTTCAAAGTGATATATTATCATTTCTGATGCATAATGTTGGCCACACAGGCAAGCCTTGATACAGTGCAGAAAGGTACTATATTGGAGGCTCAAAACCACAAAGGTTATGATACGAAGAGGTTGCTTTGAATTTTATTCCACAAGGTTTTAGTTGGGAATTGCTATAAGGTGATTCATATTTTTTAAATATCATTTGTTCATGTTATATAATGGGTTGGAGGGTGCAAGAGTAGAAGCAAGGAGACTGAGCAAGAGGCTACTGTAGCAATCCCAAAACATATGAGGGCTTTATCTGGGGAAATGACAGTTAAAGACACAGATATACTACACTTGGAATATACTTTATAGGTGCCCAATAAGAGTCACTTTCCACTCAATGCTAAATGCCAATGCAGTTGACACCCAGTTTAAAAGGTGGTAGCTGGGACTTGCTCCATCCCCTATTCTTTTTATTTATGAAAATTCATGAAAGATAAGAGTATTTTAACAAATCCATTCTCAACTGAGATGGAGATACCTGTGATATTACTATCTCCGCCCTAAAACATAAATATAACTTAGAATGGGGGAAAATGTCTCTGTAATAGTGTATTATCTCTGTAATATTGTATTTCAGTAGTTCATTAAAATTCCTTCCACTGTAAAGAAAGACCAGTGAATAGGAAAGCAAACTATATCTGTCATCTTAATTTTTCAGTAACAGACTAAATTTGGAAATGAGAAATTGATTTTTAGAGGTTTTTTTCAGCCAATTCACATTAGATTTGTACTTAATTTTTATTGGTGTAACACCATTGGAGATACTAGTAACATGATTAGAGCCACTGGATTCATGTTTTTAACTTTGTATAGTCTAATAGTATTAGAAATTGGGAGTAAAACTTGAAGTAATACATTGTGACCCAGAACTGTCCATTTTAATGTAAAGCTTTATTGGAACGCTTGCTTTTATATACTTTCAAGCTAATCCATCTAGCTTTATGCACATGTATGTTCATCAGATTTTTCTCACACTCCGTAATAAGAAAACACTCCTATCAGAAAGCCTGTATCTCTGGAGAGAGAAAAGAAATGTACATATATGCTAAAGATAGAAAAGCTGAAAGAGACTGCAAGCAAAGATAAACTTGCATCCAGGTGCTTTATAGGAATGACAATTTTCAGGACTTTTAATGGAATTAATGATTAAGAGCATAAATAAGCTCAGGAATCAACCCTACCCTTGTCAGACTCTAGCTCTAGTACTCCAGCTGTTTGACTTTTGGTGAGTTGATCTCTCTGTGACTCCATTTTCTAGTGTATAAAATGTCTGGAGATTAAGCCAGATAATATATGTAAAATATTTACAACAATGACCCGCACATGTTAAGTTCTCAAATATTAGCCATTATTTTTAGTATATAAGAAGGAAATATTGTTATACTTTCAGACAGTTGCTCTTGCATCAGAGGTAGATAAGCTTGACATTTTATTAAGGTAGGGAAAGGACTATAGAAAGTGATCTTTTGTCTAGCCCAGCAGATATGGAAATTCTCACATGATGTCTGAAGTATCTAATGTATAGAAAAACCTCTGTTAGAAAACACAAGGTGCATGAAAACAAATATGGAAAGATGCCTCTCATTCCAAAATACTTCTACTGTATCTTTAGTTTTATGTTACCTAAATAATTGCCATCAAGAAATAAGATTTAGTTTGTAATCAAGTCTGTTTCATAAAAACTGTATAAAGAGATATAAGGTTAAAATGTTGAAAGAAAATACAGAAAGAAGCCATTATGCCACAAAGAATTTTTTCTGTTAAAGTCAGTGTGCCCCATGGGAAACAGAGATGAAGCCTGAATCTAGATTAGCCATTAGGTACAGTTCTTACAAAATCCCTTATCATTGTATAAATTCCACTGAAGTGTTTTAGTTTTAAATACTCCATGCAGTTAGAGGAGTTTTAGAGCCATTTTCATATGAGGTATCTTTGCTTTCATTCCACCTTTTAGTGTTTACACAAATGGTTCTGAATGATAGGAAGTCTCAAATTTCCCTGGGCATACTCTGTCATCTTTTTTTAAGTCAGATCCATCTTGAACATTAATTAGGTCAAAATATATAGTAGTTTCCATTATTAGGGGCCTAAGGGAAATGAAGTAGAAATTGTCAAAAAAACAGTTTTACTGCTAAGTTTAAAGTAGGTCACCTAAGACCCCAGAGATTAATGTTAATTATGTCAACTTTACTCTTTACTTTTTTTTTTCTATTGTAGTTCGGATTCTGTTTTTAGGCTACAGGTTTGCAGTTTCTGCCAGAATACAAGGAAAAATAGTTGAATAAAATCATAAGGAAATTTAAAATAACCCATGCTTCAAAAAACTAGAAAGTCTTCCAATCACTCAGTTGAAAATGTATTATAAATTTTTCTAATTAATTCCAAGGTTTTTTAGTACCTCTCTTTAGATAATTTTGTAAACATTTTAATAAAATGTTTTTATGTTCATCCACTCTTTGAAAGTCAGCATGTTATAAATAATAAATTCTATAAAGCAGCAAATTTAAATTATGTTTCTGATCCAAATGCAGTATTCAACATATAGAAAAATGAAGTAACTAGTTCATGGACATCTACTGCCATAATAGGCATGAGGATTAAATGTTTCACCAAATGTTTCAGAAGTCTTGGAGCTAGGTTACATGGGCCTAGTCTAGCACCATTTACAGATTATTGTAAAGGCACTGAAGATAGGAGTAAGACATTCTTTGCCCATGACTAGTGGAAACTGTCCTCTCACAACAAGCCCCTTTAAAGCTCCATTAAAATTTAAGATACTAAGTAATAAGAGGTCCTGTTTGATTTTTATATTTCTAGATACAACAATAACTTTAAGATAAAAAATAAAATAAAATTAACTGATATGTGGACAGCCAGCTGTGTGGATGAAGTGGGAGAGGTCAACACCAGTGCTATGAAATCATTTGTCTTGGGCTGGCCCACAGTGAACTTTGTGGCCACATTCAGGTAAGAATCACAGTTTGTCCTGTATTTGCTGGGGTTATGTACTCTAATAATGTCTAGATTTTCATCAAATTTTGTTTCCCTAATTTTTAAAATGAAAAGATTTTAGGGCTGGGGATTTAGCTTAGTGGCACGGCGCCTGTGTTGCAAGCACAAGGTCCTAAGTTCGATCCCCCGGTACTGCAAAACAAAACAAAACAAAAAAAAGATTTTATTCCAATTGTGCATTAAATCAATAACTCATCTCTTGACACACATACTCAACAAAAATCTTTTGACACATTCAGTAAAAAAAGTCTCTTATATTTCACCTAGAGACCTTTTGATTAAAATATGTGGACACTAATGGTAAACATTGTAAAGTCTTGGAATCATTTACCTTGGTTTGACTAGTAATTTTTTTAAAAGGGTCCTAGTGAGACAACTGGAAGGAAGGGAACTTCTGGGAATATGGAAGTGGAATAGAGTCAGATCTCTAGTAATCTCCCTCTTTCAAAATTCCCTTCTCTAGTGCTCACTTTGGCAGCACATATACTAAAATTCCCTTCTCTAACGTTTAAGTATTTGTTTGAGCTGTTGAGCTTTATCAGTTCTTTTTATACCAGACCTTTACTAAAGCAATTTTTATAAAATAGCTCAATTAATTTTAAATAACTAGTTCATACCCCTAGATTTTCTAAGGAAATAGTTTTTTGTTATGCAGATACAACTAATGTCATAAAATACTGAATTTCCTGAATTGTCTATCAGATTCTGATTTAGTATCTATAGAGATGCAGAATATTTGTCCTTTTATTCTGAACCTGCTTAGTTGGAACTTTTTGATTCGTGATAAGCACACCAAAACTCACTCCTGTGATTTTTGAGCAACAGTACCCCAATTCCAAGAATTTTTTCACACTTAAAGGAGTTATTCTTCATCACATGCACAGGACAATTTTCATTCTGCTTCTTTTCCCACTACCACTAAACTACTTGGTCATCATCCTTAAGCAAGATAACTAAAATTTTCTAAGATGTTCTAATAAACCATATGCATACCACCAAATTCTATTATGTTTTTTTGGCCTGCCACAAGATTTTAAGAGCTTATTTGGAGGAAGAAAATGTTTGTATCGTTCTCTGCATGTCTTCTTTTCCATAACAGATTTTTATAGAAACTATCATCTCCCGTTGTTTAATCTCCTTGGAGTTATAAATGAAAAAATCCACTTCAAGTGAAGGATAACTACATGATATTTTTCAATCAAAGAATTTCCATGAAACTTGTTTTTAACTGGAGAAAATGTGGAATCATTTTTACATACATTTTATTGTTCAAAATGTGTTTTTTTTAAACAATCAAGATTAGTATTGTGGTCATATGGATGTCATGTACCCCTTAATGTGATGAAAAGAGCAATTCACTTCTGGTCTTCATCTCAAAAAACTCATAACCGTAATGTAATCATGAGAAAAATATCTGGCAAATACAAATTCAAGAGAAGTATGAGGATACCTGACCAGTGCTCCTTAAAAACTGTCAAGATACAACATGAAAACAGGAAAGACTGAGAAATTGTCATAGACCAATCAATAGGGAGACAAATAGCAAAGTGAGATGTAGCATCCTGAATTGGCTCCTAGAACAGAAAAAGGACATTAATAGAAAAACTCATGTAATTAAGTAGTTTCATTGGTGTTGTGTTCCAGTATTTCTTAGTTTTGACAAATAGGCTGTGATAATATAAGGATGACATTAGAGGAAACTGAAACTGGGTGCGACACACACAGGAACTCCCTGTATTATCTAAGTAACTTTTCTGGAAATCTAATATTATCTCAAAATTAAGGGGGTTTTTTGTTTTGTTTTTTGTTTTTTTTTACGTAAAGCATTGTGGAGTTCTGCCTCTGGTTTGGCAGAACCAGTCTTTATAGTCTTAACAGACCACTCTATACAGAACAGCTGTAAAATCTGAACAAAATACAAACAACAGAACTCCTTTTGAGCTCTGAAAAGTGGACAAAAGTTGGGAGATTTTGCAGAGAAATTGAAATATGGAAGAAAGAGCCAACATATGGTGAATTTCCTGTTTTTAAAAGCTTTAAGCCTAAGGCAGGCTACAGTCACATCATAGAGCGAGGTAACTAAAGCTCACAAAAGCCCGTAATCTCTCTGGCCTGAAGAAACAGTCTGAGTAAATACTAACTACTGGAAAATGAGGGGAGGAGGGGTCTCAAAAAGGAACACATCAGAGAAGGAAAGCTTTACATTCTGTGTATAGACTCTAAGTCTCTATCTGACCATTGAACCCCACATGCATAGACTCGAAGTAGCTTGAAGCTAAGACCAAAACAACTGAACTGAGTTTCTGACCACCACAGGTGAAATAGTTTATAACTTGAGTTAATCAAATTCATTGTCTGTTAAAACAAAAACCTGAATACTATTTTGCAAATAGAATGCAAAGTCTCTGAGGTAAAACATTTGTAAAGTTCAGAATACCATCTAAAATACCTTGACATAAATAACAAGTAAAAAACAAAAGTAATCAGTAGAGGCTAACCCTGAGATGACCGACCCATATGCTGAATTATCAGAAAAGAACTTTAAAGCAGCTTTTATAAGTGTACCTGGAAAGTGAAAGGAAACTAATTGAAATTAATAAAAAGGTAAGAAGTCTTGGCAGAGGAATAGAAAATAATTTAAAAGGCTAAATGAAATTTCTGCAACTGAAAACCGCTATACCTTAAATAAAAAGCCTTATGTGCAAAATGGAGGAGTCTGAATTTGAAGATGCAGCAATACAAAATGTACAATCTGAAGATGAGAGAAAATACTTTTTAAAAGTGAAACAAGTGCATCATGTACTTGTCAGAAGATGTCAAAAGATAACATCCATGTAATTGGAAACTCAGAGAGAGAAGGAATAAGGCAGAAGAAATACTTGAAGAAATAATAGTTTAAAACTCCCATATTTTATGAAAAACAAAGTACAGATTTGTTAAGTTCAGTAAACCCCAAACAAGATGAGTATGAAGAAAAATGCACCTTGTCGTATTATAGACCAACTGCTCTAAATCAAAGATAAGAGAAAAATCATGAAAGCAGGCAGAGAAAAACAATGCATTACATACAAGAGAATAACAATTTGAATTATTGTGGACTTCTTATTAGAATCTATGGAAGTCAGAAGAGAGTGGAACATCTTCCAAGTATTGAATTTTTTTTAATCTTTCAAATGTTGAGAGAAAAATCTTTCAAAGTAGAATACAGTATCCTGAAATAATATTCTTCAAAAATAAAAATAAAGACTCAGAAAAATTTGTAAGTATTTCCAGCAGACAGTTTCTACAAAAATAAGTTAGTGGAAACTTTTAAGGCTAAAGTGTAATGATACAAGAAGGAAACATGAATCTTAGGAAGAGATTAAGACCAATGAAAATTGTGTGTATATATATCTCTTAGTAAATATCAAAGAAATCTAAGTCTTGATGAGCTTTAAATGCCAGTAGGCTAACAGCTTATAAAGCAATCTGTTCTTCCCAGTTAGTAAACTACCTATAAAGAAATAAAAAATAAGAAACTAATAGCATTGCCAGGCATGGTGGTGCTCACCTGTAATCAAAGCACTCAGGAGGCTGAGGCAGGAGGATTGCCACAAGTTTGACACCAGTATGGGCTACATAGTTCAAAGCCAGCCTGAACCATAGTGAAACCCCATCTCCAAAAAACCAGGTAGCATTGAAATCTGAAACTAACAACTTCCGAAATATATAAGAAATTCCCAATTGAAAAGAGCAAACAATGTGAATTTTCCATGGTTTACCTTGGGAAACAAGTAGATAGCCACATCTCAAAAAGGTCCAGAGGAATTTCCTGTCTCTGCCAGTACATGTACTCTGATTTACAAACCTAGGGGTCTGTGAATACCAGAAAAACAGTTGCTATGTCTGATTTTACAAATAACTACATGATATATTTGAAACATTGTTTAAGACGGGGGAATTACTTAAATCTGACGAGAACAATATTTTAACTGAAATTCCTAAGCTGTGTCTTAGACTACAGAATCTTATTTATAGATCAAATTAAAACTCACCTTATGCTCCCATTTTGCTAACCTGGTAGGAAATCTGATTTTCTTCTTAATCAGAAGTCTTATTTCTTGAGGTAGAACCAGAATATGGGACTTCTGGAGTGCCTCCAAAACAGAAAAAAATGCTACTGGCCATTGTATTGTGATCACTTCTAATGTCATCTTTATCTGTGCCCAGAGCTGTCTCTTTACACTCAGAGATGTTCCAACTTCTTAACACATGTGCAGGACAGATATCTTGGCTGAAACAAAAGTGTTGGTGCCTAGAACTCAGCCTCTTTCCTAGTTCCTGAAAGCCATTTCCTCTGAGTTCTATTTTTTTTAGAGTATCTGAACAAAGAATGTAGTCCTCAGCTCACACTTAGGGACAACAGACCTCACTAATCCTCCATAATTTAAGAGAATCTTCCAGTCTGCCTTGCCCTTCAGCTTTCTCCTAGATAAACTGCATTATTCTCCCTTTGGTCTTAATATCTTTTTAAATGTGCTATGAAACACTGAGAAATACACTGACTTTGGAATACTTCTGGTATCAATCCTGTAAAAATACCTATGACTAAGAAGTACTAAGGAATGAAAGTCCTGGATTCTTATATAGAGTAGAAGAATGTAAAATAAAAGATTATACAAATGAATATCCACAAAGTAATCTGACACATTGATAATTAATGTTTAAAGTAACACATGCTATATATTCAAACAATGAACTTTGGATAGTTATGAGAATAATATGGACAAATGTCACAAACATAAATGAAACAAGCTAGACACAATATATGCTGTATGGCTACATTTATGTAAAGTACCTGAACAAACAAAACTCTTCTGTGCTTCTTGAAACCGGGATAGTGGGAACAACTGCCTGAAAAGGAGCATTTTCCAGTGTGATTTTCTATATCATAATCTGTGTTCTGGTTTCATAGGTGTACTTTATAAAAATTCTTCAAGCTGCGCACTTAAAGTTTGTGCAGTTTTCTGTATCTTATATGTCAGTTTAAACATACTAAGTGTCTTAAAGGAGCTTTGAAAAAAAGTTGGGTCAAAAACATCTATTTTCCAACACGGACTTGTGCTAAATAAATACCAGATTTGACATTAGTGAACCTAGAAAACCTGTTTTAGAAAAAAGAATATACCAAAAGGTAGGAAGGAAATGTGAATAATAGAAATTGTATGCTCATTGGTTAAAAAAAATACAAAATGTACTTTTTGATGAAAGATTATGAAGAAAGTTGCCTAGCAACAAAGTTAGAAATAAATTACAAATATTTATTAAGTATTTTTCTGGAACATGTTTTCATTTACTAGAAATACGATTTTAAAGCTTGTGAATGGCAAGATTTATTTAGGAGGCCAGTTGTAGTGGCTCATGTCAATAATCCCAGCACTCAGGAGGCTAAGGCAGGAGGACCATGATGAGTTCAAGGCCAGCCTGGGCTACGTAGTGAGTTCAAGGCCAGCCTGAACTACCCAGTCAGACCCTGTCTCCAAAAAAAGAGAGATACTATACGAATTAACTTGAAATTATTTTAAGCTTTAAGAATTAAAGGCAACAGTGACAGCAACAGAAACATTACTAGTAATAATTTAGTTGTGAATTCATCTTAATCAGAAAGTTACAGTAATTTTTTCTGTGAGCTAATTTACCAAATTCAAGTTTTGCTTTATGTATTTAAAATAAAAAATTTCTTTTCCTGATAACAGACTGGTTTCTGGATCAAGATAATTTTGTCTATGTGACAAATTTCTTTTTCGTCTCAATATTAAGCATATTTTCTATTTATATGGCACTTTAAACTAACACTTAGCTAATTTAACACAGAGTAAATTAACCCAGTTTTATAGGTAGGGAAACTGAGGCTTAGGTTAAGTGACTTTCTCATCTTCATCTAGCTTGGATATAGATTTGAAATCAGGGATTTGAATCCCAAATCAAGTATCCTTTCTACTATAAGAGCTACCTCCTACTGACTTAATACCACTCGTAGAAAGAGCAGTAAGGTGTAAAAACGAGTCTGCTTCAGATTCATCCAAGAGGATTTAAAAACCTCCACTTGATTGTATAATTTTTCCAAGGGGGCATTTTTACCTCTGGGATTTCCAGAACACAGTTATGCCAGGTTGCATCTTACGTGCACAACTACATCAGTAACAACATGCTGTTGATAAAATCTTGGCATAAGTATTTTATGTGGTTTAATTTTTATCTTCTATTTTCTTTTATTGCAGTTCTCCAGAACAAAAGGACAAATGGCTCTCTCTCCTTCAGAGGTATTTTTCATTATGCTTACTTTTAATCTTTAACTGGCAACGAATTAAAAACTTTCTACAGAGGTGTGCCCCAAACTACTCCCCTTCATCTTAATGGAAATTGTCCCTTTGTCCTCAATATAAACTACATATAATATTGTAGATTATACACTAGCTACTACTTGCTGTAAATAATGTTCTCTCATTAGAAGTATTTCTTCTTTCTAGGAAAGAGAACATTGAGATCTAGTTAGATCATTTTAGACAAATTAGTATCTGTTGCTTCTAAACTACCATTTGGAGCTAACAGGTTCTTCAAAGTATGTATTAAGTTTTCATAAACTTCAGGTTTCATAAACTGCAAGATTTTTCACAGAGCACCTCAAAAATCCATAATTATCCCTATTATTGAGCCTGTGGACTAACTTGGCCATTGTAGGCTTACTAGTTATACCCACAACACCCCCGCAAGCAGGGGAAGACCAACATTAACACTTTACTGAAGTACAAAATAAAAAGAGGAAGGCCATTGCTTTGTTTTGCCTGGTAAAGTATTATATGTGTTCTTGTACTTACCAGCAAGGTTCCAGACTCATTCAGAGGTGGCAGAAAGATGTTAAGGGTAAAATGTCACCCAGAGGTGCCTTAACCTAAGTATTTCTTAAACTTCACTTGACATGCATGTCCCATTTTTTGTGCCCATGCCTAATGTCCTGAAATTTTTTATTTTCTTTCAACCCATAATATAATCTGACTTTGCTGAGTCCTTCATATCTTTAAAATAGCATATACATATATTTAAAATATTACCAAAATAGATTTAAAAATAAGCCATTAGTGAATACCATCTGACTCAGTGTTGTGTTGGGTTGTTGTTGCATTTGATCAGATACATCAATCTAGAGAAAGAGAAGGACTACCCGAAGAGCATTCCCCTCAAAATCTTCGCCAAGGACATTGGGAATTGTGCCTATGTAAGTGTTTCTCAGCCAGAAAATTAAATTCCACATCCCCGCGTAAGGCAGAAAACTCCATGGTTATAAAGAGTCAGGCAGGTGGACAGACAGTGTTTATGCTGTGACAGGCAAGCATTTAAAAATACCATAAGGATCAGTGCATTTTTCTGGAGACAGACATCTTTGCATGTATTAAAATTAAACCCTAGAGAAAATGAAACAAAAATTTTAACTGCTGTATTTAACACTTATACTTGGAAAGAATATTGCTTCTCAGATGTCTTATTCTTCCCTGTGGCATGAATGTTTCTCTGAAATCTTTTCAGTAGCAAGTTCAAAGGCTTGTAGTAAAGCTGTTTCCACAAGGAGGTATTTTCTATATAAGGAAGCAATTTTTTCCAACTTGTCACTTCTTAAATCAAGAGTAGCTCTGAAAAGTTGCTCATTTCTTGAGTTTTTAGGGATTGAATCCCTCAGGTTAAATGTGGTGTGACACTTACTTTAAGAGCCAAGATGTTATCAGTGATGAACATGATAAACATATTTTTGTGTTTCTGTGGACTGTCACACTTTACAGCCACTCTAGATCACACACAGTTTTTGCATGTGGAGAAATACGAAGCACAAAAGTTATGTTTAGCCAAAAGCAAAAGTTGCAAGAGTCTTCTAACCAGCTCCTGAGTGCCAGTGTTACTACTTGAGGAAATACTCAAATTTTTATGGTATTAGACTACAGAGATCTCCCAAAACCAAGGGAGGAAGAGAAAGATTCCCTTCCCCACTTTGATTCAGTTATTGTTGCAGTTGATTACATTAGGGATTTTGTAAGCAATGCCTTGATCACTTTATGTATTGAAGGTGTGTGCTTGAGATGTCCCACTCTTCATTTTGCAAAAGGGACGTGGTCAGTTTGGAGTGTTGTGCTTTTATCATTACTGCTGTGAATAAGTCAAGGATGAAGTGACACATACTATTTTGCCCTCTTAAATAGTGTGCAAGGCAAGAATCTTTTAGGGGGAGCCCTGCTTTCAGAGTGATCCCCCTATAAATAGGAGTGTGTATTTGTAAAGTATGTTTTAACCTCCGCCTACAGTTGTGCACAGCCTGTCAGTGAATTCTGCTAATATGGAACAGCATAGTGATATGTGCAATTTTGTCTACATTTTGTTACTTGTTTACTAGCTAAAGAGCTCTGTCTTCTGAAATTCATTTGTTTAGTCTCCCAGAAAGGCATGCAGGGAAAGATATATGTACTATAATAATTTTTAACAAATGTGCCAAATGTTAAGACAAATTATCTTAGAAACCAGATAATTGGAAAGATAGATTCTCACTATATAAAAGACTTTATGAGAGAGTTTCTTTAAATTAAATGGAAGTGATTTCAGGCTTTAAAAAAAAGCTGAAGCTGTTTTGAAATTAGATTTAAAGTCTGGTGTGTAGTATTCCTATGCCACACTAGCAAAAGATAGATTGTGGGTTGGGTGCATCAAGCCCTCCCTGTTAGGCTCCAAGACACTTTGCATAATACTTGAAGCTTCAGGGAGCACATTTTGAATTTAATGTATTTAAAGTGTTTTTTAAACTAAAATTTAATTAAGAAGCAACTTTTAGAAATACTTTGTCCTGTCAAGTACTTGGCATATATGGAAGAAATACTATAACAGAAGGACAAGTGATAAATTTTCAGTGGATTTTAGTTAGCTTTACTTTTTATGTCCTTTCTGTTTTTATGACATTGTGCTATTATATCCTGCCTTTTATTTGTTCCATGTTAGTCATATCTATCACCCATTTGACCCTAATTGCTGGTTTACCTGATAATTGGCATATGTAAAACCTATGTGCAGAGCAAAAAATATTTTTGATAGGGTAGCAATGTATGTAATGTCTTTTGAAATTCAGTGACCTTCATAAATATCTCAGAATCTTAATTCCATTTCTGTTTCTTACAGATTATCTATTTTTAAGTAGCAATCTCAGTGTAATTTAGCACAGAGCTATCATAGATACCCTATTTGATGACAGTTGGTAATAGAATAAAGCTTTCTGAAATTTTCAGCTTTTTCCTAGATTCATCAATTTTAATTCTTCTAAAGATTTAAACAATGAAAATCTTAGCCACAGTACCAGACACATAGAAAACACTCAATAAATAATTTAAAGCTCTAATTATATTTTGTAACTAGTTCTTATGATCTTAGCTGATTTTATAGCATGCAAAGTGATAAAACCCTATACTGCAAAAGTAGTATGCAAAATAAAATTTTGTGTAAAATTCCCATTGGATTATGGAATGGGGGAAGAGGAACAGCCTCACTGAGAGCATGTGTGTGTGTGTAATGAGTGGGAGTGAGTCCATTCCTCTCTTTGAAATATATTTATATTTTTTTACTTTTTTAAGTTCTTATATTCTGTGAGCCACATATCCTTTTAGAGAAAAAATGATAAAGAGCTTAAGATAGCAGGGAATGAAAGTAACTCACAACCAAGAGTTTTTGTTCTGCTTAAGTCTTCTGCTTTACTTGGCCCATGCGTGAAATCCAGATGTTCCTTTGGATAGTATAATCATTTGACAATATTATTTGTTCACCTGTATTGAAATTATTTATATTTGTATTTCTTTTTTTCCTACAGTCTAAAACTATAACAGTAATGAATTCAGATACAGCAAATGAAGTTATCAACATGTCATTACGAATGCTAGGGATAACTGTAAGTTATTCTGCTAAATATTCTTAATTATTAACTTTGATACTTTAGATTCAAAGAAATGTTTAATTTAGATGTATTATATCCTTCAATCATAAGATAGCTCACAATTAGAGATACTAAAGTCATATTTTGTCCCTCAAAATGTAAAATATAAGGACAAGAAAACCTTAATATTACTATAATATGTAGGTATCATTTTATATTTTAAAACCTATAAGAACTAAAAAGTATATGATTGGACTACAATTTTAGAGTAATATATTTTTATTATATATGTTATATACAAACACAAAATTTCACTGTATAATACTATTAAGAAAATTTCAGCCACCCTCCCCGTCCTTCTTAGCGCTGTTTGACTGTTCTCTTCCCTGATCTGCTTATCCTGTTATTATTACAGGATTCAATCTTAGGATGATAAATTCTGAAGAATTTTCTCTGTAGTCAAATTTTTACATAAACAACACTTGGCTTTATGCTATATTGGCGGGCTGCAGGTCCTGAGGATGAGATGGCTGGTACCTTTTATGGATTAGTAAATTTTTACAAGATGGCTTTGATTTAGACCATGGATTTGAAGAACCTTAGTATTCATACCATACTCTTCCCTGTTTTGCTTTTATTTTCCACCCCTTTCTGTTTTCTGCGGTAGAGGTGAGTTTTTGAAATGTTATTGGAAAAGATTAGAATATTTGAGAATGAGGTAGGGGAAAGACAGTTGGAAGGTTCTCCCCATTTGCCTTCCTGCCAGTTACATAAACATCACATGATGCGCACTTTTAGTAAAGGGAAGAATGGGTTTTAGAAGGATGGAAACTAAGAAAATGAACATTTTTAGTGGTATTCTTTATTATTAAAACACTATTACTATGATGTAACATGACAAGTTTAAGACATGCCATAATATTATTATATTTTGATGTTGTTTTAGTTACTTTTCTCTCCTTGCTGAGACAAAATAGCCAACACCCAAAGTTAAAGAGGAAAAGGTTTATTTGGCTTACTTACAGTTTGTAGAGGTTTCAGTCCATAACCCACTGGCTCCAAGGCAGAATGCCAGAGGGGCTGACAGTTCTTGACAGTGGAAGATAGCAAAAGTAACAAGAGACCTTAACAGCATCTTTGTACCTCTTTTATCTTATCCAGACTACTTAGGGTGGGTAGCACTCACACCCGTAATCCTAATGCCCTCAGGCCTAGCATTGCATCCTGAATCAGTCACACTCTAGATTCATCCACCTCTGAAAAAGCTCCACCTCATTCACATGAGGCTTTGGGGAGGGGGCCATATTTAAATACAAACCCTAACAGATGTACTCTTACATAATACTCTGCTAAGCCTTTAAGAATTCAGGACAAACAAAATTCAGGATAAGAAATCTGACTCACTAGTAAAATTTAGTAATATATTTAAAATGTGATTAAATTTTGTATACACTGTGGCACGGGGTGAAGCAGGCATCTCTGCATCAATTTGTAATGTATTTTATATATATCTTAGAGGAGAGTAAATAGTTTTATGGGTAGGAAGGGAAATTAATACATAACTCATATTCCTATCTATGCTTTTCCTTTAGAAAAGTGATCAACTGCTCAGATCAAAAATACATTAAGAATGTAAGCTATTTGGTTATACCTGTTCTAGGGGACTATTACAGTGTTTTCAGATACTATATAAAACTGTGTATAATTGAGGGGATTGAACCCAAGGCCTTCTCACTGAATTACCTCCGTAGCCCTTTATGTTTTACTTTGAGATAAGAGTCTCATTCAATCATTGTGTTCCCCAGGCTGGGTTTGACCTTGTAATCCTCACCCTCCCAGAATCTGGGGATTACAGGCATGCACTGCCACACCTGGCTAAAAAGAAAAGATTTTTGTTAGATTGTTCTTCCTCCTTGACTAGGGGATCCATCAGGGAAGATATGACAAACTGCAAAGAGTAGGGAAGGGGCACGCAGCCATCTATATGGTACTCTCTATAGCCAGGAACCTCTGTTAAAGGATAGAGTCATGATTTTAGTTAAAAGTTAACTAGAGGACAAGAATGTGAAATACTGCCAGCAGACTTGACTATCTCTTCTAGCTTTGTTTAAAACATTTTTGCTTTATCCCTCCTAGAAAATTCACCAAAGTCTGTATAATTTACTATTATTTCTTTCAAGTGGGACTTATAGTGTTGCTGGGTTATAATTCTGCTGGTAAAAAATTTTATTGTTTTCCATGACTGTGCTTATTCTCTAGATAGAATTCTTTCTATCCCCCAGACTAGACTTGCCCAAACTAAAGCCAGTGCAGACTGTGCCAACTACCTATCTCCTCAAAGCCTCTTGGTCATTCTGCTCAGCAGCAGCTGAGCTAATAGTTAGCCTTTGAGATTTTACTTTTTTAATCATAAGCACAGCAGTGTTTGTGGCTTTTTGGATAACAAGGTTGTCTTTGCAGGGTCAGGATGGAGGTTCAGTTCAGTATTTTCTGAGAAGTCCAGAAACATCGTAGAAATGAGGATTCAAAAGAAAAGATTAGCTTTTCAGAATCAGGAAGTTTGTTCTTCCTTGGAAAAAAGTCCTACCTACACTTTCACATTTCATGGGCTTGCTGATACAGGGAGGGTCCAATTCAGTTACAGTCTGTGGATCCCTATTCAGCACGTGGAGAAGAACAGCATTCCCAAATCCTTGGAGAATGGGCCGTGGGTTGTAGGAATCAGCCTACTGTACTGTACCATCGTGAAAAGCATGAATCTGAATAGCATTTATATTGTCTGCAGGTTTTTCTTTTTCAAAGCATAAAAATGTAAAAAACTGCCACCTGCCTTGCAAGCGAAAGGTCCTGAGTTCAATCCCAGGTACCAAAAAAAAAAAGTTGCCTTTGTTCAAGTACCAAATGTGAAAAAATTTATTTTAATTTTTTTTAATCTCCCAGGGTTCTGAGAGAGATTACCAGTTATGGGTCAATTCTGGAAAAGAAGCAGCACCATACCCACTCATTGGTAAGTTTCTGTGAAAATCTAAGATAGCATTGTGTTTTAATCAAAATTTTAAATGTCTCAGAATTGATTATATGGTCCCAAGCTTAAATAGTATTAAATGTCATGTGATATGTACTTAATATCTGTTAAGAATTTACTCTGTGCCAAACATCGGTATCTTTTTCACTCAGGCAGCTGAAAAGGTATAATTAAGAAACCAATTTTCCTCTTTCGCTTTTTCACTTTAAAGTCTGAACTGTCTTGCCAACTGTTTTTCTGTAAGAAACCAGTATATATTGGTATTACTTTTTCTCCATACATTTGCTTTTCATATTCAGTTTTTTCTTAGTTTTATTTTATTGGTACATTTTAGGTATACAATATATTGACTTTCATCATTGGAAATTTGCACCTTTACATAATCTCTCTTGGTTCTTATTCTTCCCCCTTCCCCTGCCCTCCCTTCAACCCCTCCATCCCTCCCTATTTACAAAGACTTTGTTTCCATTTTTTCATTCTCTCGTATTCCATTCCCTTCTTTCTTTTCCCCTACCCCTTTGCCCCTTTTCTTCCTATTTCATATTATCATACCTTTTAGTCCTTATTTACACTTTCAGTTTCTCACACTAGAGAAACTATTCAGTATTTACACATGCGTATTCAGTTTTTGAATTTCATGTTCTTTTTCTTACCAACTACATTGCCTCCATAGGAAACTAATCCAGTTGTGCATCTCAATCAAACACCTGCCCCATGCCCAAAACTTTCCTGAGTGTCATAAGGAAATGATTAACTCATTATAACTCCTAAAAGTCTTTGCAGACTAATTTACCAACTACTACTTCACTGGTCAGCTTTTCTCTAGCCAAATTTTCCAGCATTTGTTTTGAGACAATCCTGACAATTACATCTCATGCACAGAGATGAGTGCAAAACTGACCATATTTGGGGTCTGTTTTTGATGTTGTCATTTTTATAAAAGGAAATGAGCAACAATGAAAGTTGTCATGACCTAAAATTATTTTAATAAATTAGATTGATTTAATTAAAACTAGGTAGATGGCAATTTTTAGGCTTGCAGTAGTTTCAACTTTCATTACTAGCTTTTACTGAAATGCCATGAGACATGGTTGTCCCATACTTAGCAATTTTTTTACATTTGCAATATATAATGAATATATTCATGGTGGAATATTGGTATATATACATATCACATGATTCTTTTTACTTCCCCTTTGTGTGCCTTGTAAAACAATTGTAGATTAGCTGCTGGCTATTTTAATAAATGAATTTTGTGTTATTGCTATTGTAGAGACCTTTTTTGCCTTAATTCCTGGAAGTTGCTGTAATGTATAAATATTAATACACGTACATTTTATGCCTGTGCCAGGGAGAAAGTAAGAGTTCATTGATCAGTAAGGGTTCAGTGATCAGAGAAATCATTCTCTAAACTTAAAGAATCTACAGCTTGTAGTATTTATGATTACACTAAAAGGATCCAATGATTTCGGCACTAAAGAACAAAAATCACAATTTTAGTCAGATGTCCAGAGTCTGGTTTTTCTACTTTGTAAATTCTCTTTTGCATCTGTGTCTGTGTTTCTAATTCTGAACAGTCTTCCTTATGATTATGGCCTGTGAACACCAACTTCAGGGCAGCAGTGGAAAGGAAGCACAAAATCAACCAGTCCCAAATACTCTTGAAATGTTTATTTTTCAGACAAGCATACTAGCTAATTGTAGTTGTGATGCTAGAAATATCTAGTTCTTTGTCCCTATTTAAATAATTTCAGCCATACATATGTACTTATTTAATCCTTTAACACTTGATACATAGGATAAATGTTTACATCAGGGATCTGAAGTCCAGTGAGCATGTGGATTTGGTGAAGATTTATAGATCTAGTGGGTGTCAAAGGAGAATGTCTTTAAATTTTCTTATATGCAAACATAGAAAAAGTCAGCACAATTCACAAATTGATCTATGCAATCATTCCAAATAAGATATTCTTTAAACATTTTTTTCTTACCCCTTCATAAAACTACTTTGGTAAGGCCCTCTGCACTGTGCAGTGGCCTGCTAATCTTAAGAGTTATGGCGGTCATTCAGTCAAAAAAGGATTCTTTACACCAAAAATCCCAGGAGTGAATTCCACTACATTCCAGTAGTCATGTGCCTACAATACCATTCAGCTTGAAGTCTACACTCAGATTTTTCTCTTTACAGGGCACGAATATCCCTATGGAATTAAAATGAACCATCTTCGAGACACCGCACTTCTGACACAGGGATCAAAGGACTCTGCCAGCCTTTCCAATCTTCAGGAGCCCTTCCTCATGGAACAGCTGCCCCGAGAGATGCAGTGCCAGTTCATCCTGAAGCCCAGCCGCCTGGCTGCCACCCAGCATCTAAATGGTGAGTCACTTCTCCTTCATCATAGAGCATTTTTTCAGCAGTAGTTTTCATTCTAGAACATAAATTTAATAGCAAAGGCAGAGACTCAAACTTCTTCCCAGATGAGGTATTTTTAATTTGCTAGTAAGTGTTCTAAAAAGAAAAGATGGAATTTTAGAGGATGGTGTTATAAATCAGCAACTAACCAGCATCAAATAGCAATACAGGGCCGGGAATTTGTCTCAGTGGCACCCACACCTGCCTCGCAAGCACAAGGTCCTAAGTTCGACCCCTGGTACCCCCCCTCCAAAAAAAATAGCAATACAGTCTGTCCTTTCATTATTATCCTTTGCCCTTTAACCTTATGCCCACTGTAGAGTTAAAGGCACAGGCAGTGCTGCAGGTGCTTCAATGCCTTCTTTGTACTGCAATACACTTCACTGTGTGTTCCCTCTAAACGATCATATTATAAAGGAGGAGGCTGTCATTGTTGGGTGTCAAAAGACTGATGCCCTATATGGACCTTTGGTATAATTATGTGAGGACTAACATGATTTCTATGAAAATCTCTCCTTATCCTACTAATCTGAGTTCCCTGTGAACATGGCTCCTACTGTCCTCAGTTATTCAGCTATTTTCATTGAAAGGCTAATGTCTTAGTTACTTTTCTCTCATTGCTGAGACAAAATACCTGACACCCAAAGTTAAAAGGAGAAAGGTTTATTTAGCTTACAGTTTGTAGAGATTTCAGTCCATAGTCAGCTGGCTCCAAGGCAGAGTGGCATGTGGCAGAGGGGCATCTCAGAGGAGGAGAACAGTTCATGGCACCCACAAGGTAGCAAAAAGCAACAAGAGAAATTTAACAGAATCTTTCTGCCCCTTTTATCTTATACAGACTACTGGAATTAAGGTGGTGCCAAACCAATCAGTGTAGTAGTTTAGTAATCACCCTTAGTCCCAACATCACACACTCCAGATTCAGCTACCTCTGAAAAAGCCACTTATGACCTCATGAGGCCTTGGGGGACATCTAGACTCAAACTATAACAGCTAATACTCTTAAATCTAATTTTTCTGGCCCCATTTCTATATCTACTACAATTACACAAGATTTAATCAACTCACCATTCTTAAATGGCCTTCCTTGAATTGGGTGTAACAAAGGAGCCTCTCAAACTTTTGTTAGAGCTTCATTTTCATTCTTTATTTTGAAGAAATGCTGCAATGATGAAAATTTCCATTTTAAATATTCTAATTTTTGTAATCATTGCTTTCTTACATTGATGTGTGCTTAGTCTGTTATATAGTGTATTCTTTTACCACAGCCATTATACCATTGTACAGTAAGCATAATACAATCATACCTAGGTGTACTCAACTGCTTTGAAACTACTTGATACCCAAAAATTTTGTTCTGGCTGAGTGTGGTGGCGCACACCTGTAATCCCAGCACTCGGAGGTTGAGGCAGAAGGATCATCACAAGTTCGAGGCCAGGCTGGGCTACATAATGAGTTCAAGGCCACCCTGAACTACATAGGAAGACCCTGTCTTTAAGAAAAAAAATGGTTCTAGTACTGGTTCTTTAATATTTGATGTGCAAGTTAGAACTTGGCAGTGTCAATTGCTTTGTGGCCTGCTAGTTTTTCCAGCCAAAATAATTTGGTACTATTTAATGAACAACAACAAGGTATGATTGTACTTTGTCATTTCATTCAGTAACAGCATCATTCACTGTGCCTTAAAAAAAAAAAAATCAACATTAGAAATCCACTTTTTGGGCCTGGGGATTTAGCCCAGTGGTTCTGGCACCTGCCTCACAAGTTCCCAAGTTCGATCCCCAATACAAAAAAAAAAAGGCACTTTTCTTTTGTTTTGATGAGTAATAAACAAGTAAGATATTACAGTATCATGGTATATGTGGCTATTGAAACAATGTTGAGATGTAATGGAGTCACTGAAGCTTGTACTTCTTGAAATTTTTTTTTTTTCCCCTGGGAATTGAACTCAGGATGTTGCGCTTGCTAGGCAGGCGGCAGAACCATTGAGCTAAAGCCCTGTCCCATTACTGAAGCTTGTAGTACCCTGAGCAGCAGAGCAAATAAGCACACCACACACCAGCTCATAGCTATTCAACTCTGTCATGGAATGTAAATCAAGAACAACTATAGGCAGTATGGGAACATATATGTGGGGTTGTAGTAAAACTATTATGAACAATACAATTTGAATTTAATTTTTATGTATCACTACATATTACCTGGATTTTCTTTAACCTTTTAAAAATGTAAAAACCATTCTTCACAGGCTATCCAAAGAGATGGCAGGCCAGTGTAGCAGTTTGCTGCTCTCTGATTTAGAGCACTAACATGCAAATTTAGTCAAAAACACTCCACTAAACTCTCAGTATTCTACTGGACTTTGTAACAGAGCTTTGCAAGTAACATAATCATCTCATTTGACTTTTCTTCATTCTCTTATGTCTTTTGGAGTGCTTTCATTAGAAATGGAAAAGTCAGAAGGCATCTGGAAAAGACTAAAGAACCATAGAGTCTAGAAATTGTACAAATGAAATTAATGGCCCCTGGATGATACTTTTCATGATGTTATCAAATAATCTCTAAATAGAACTTAACAATTTATAGAATATTTTCTTTTAAGCTTCAAAACAACCATTTAAGGTTACATTATTAACTTAATTTTTAAATGAGCAGACTCAGACTGTGTCCAGCATTACCAAGTGTGTAACAATAATAGAGATGAAACATCACATACATCTTCTGTTCTTTTTTTTTTTTTTTGGTACCGGGGATCAAACTCAGGTCCTTGCGCTTGCGCAGCAGGCGGCGAAACCACTGAGCTAAATCCCCGTCCCCAACATCTTCTGTTCTTGAGTCTCTGCTCTTGTCACTAAACCTAACTGCCCCACTGTGTAGGCTGCTAGCACTAACTCACTTTATAAGACAGAATACTTCACATAGTTTTTGTCTTAACTGCCAGCATTCCCATTGCTTCTATTTTTTTTTACGAGCAGTCTTTTGCTGTTTAATTTGATGCCAACATGCCAATCTGAAGATTATTAGAGATTTTCATTACTCATATAGCTTTATTATGATGTAGGAAATATGACCATGTGATTATCAAAGTGGCATACATTATTTAAAATCCATTGAACTCAAACTTTAAATTGGTTAGTTCTAGGAAGTAAATATTTTGTGTGGAAAAATCATACCTTATTTTTAGGGTTAACAGCATAAAAGAAGAAGATAATTTCTATGAGAATATTAGATGACAGCAGTTATCACCTGAATTAAATAAGCCACAATTAGAACTTTAGGTCTGTTTCTGACAGAGGCTTTTTCTAATTAGCTTGAGGAAAATATCCCTGTTAACCAACATAAACTTAGGTAAGCATAGTCATCCCCATTCTTTTCTTTCAAATTCCTGCCTCAGTTTGTAGAACACCTCCTACTGAACAGTCTGCAGATAAAAGTAGCAATTGATAGGTTGGTTCCCAGTGAAACAACTCCAGTGTAAATGGAGAGTTCAAGATGTAAACATTCAAGTATCTGATCTCAAGACCTAACTCAAATGTCACTTCTAGGAAGTCTTCTCTTTCAGGCAGCTATTTGCTCCATTTCCATGTCTCCAGAGCACTTGATACTTATGTCCAGTAAAATGTTTTAAAACTGTTATGCTTATTTACCCACGTGTATCTTTAGAATATGAGTTTCTTAAAGCATGCAAACCCATTCCAAGGTTTAGTACATACAACAGAGCCAAAGTTAAATGAGAGATTGAATGGCTTAGTTATACCAAGTATGGAAAAACTGGAATAGAGCAGAACAGTTGTGAAAATAAATGGGGTTGTGGTCTCAAGTAGTTAGCAGGGTTCCAAGCCTGAATTGTGCTCCCAGTTCTGTGCCAACAACAGGTTCACTTTCCACTTGCTTGAGACCCAAGACTGAACTGGAATTACACTGAACTTTTATAATAGATGGTAGGATATGAGGCACATCTTCCGCCTTTTTGTTCTGTCAGTCTAATGTTCTCCTATATCAATTTCCTACTCTGGGGAGAAAAAAGTATTCTGAAGTTGAAGAGATGTATGGCCAGAATAGAAAGTTTTTTGTTGTTATGAATATTATTCTACAAGCATAAAGTTTTACCAGTTATAATATTTAATGTTTAGTTTTTTGATTTAAGCCTAAAGAAGAACACCAAGAGCCAGGGATTTAGCTCAGTGGTTCCGCCCCCTGCCTCACAAGCACAAGGTCCCGAGTTCGATCCCCGGTATCCAAAAAAAACCAAAAAACCACCAAGCCTGAATCTTGCTAACATTATTTAGGAAAGCTAGACTTATATGAATTTAGTATGCTTTATATTTATGTTTTTTATGACAATATGTTTTCATTAGCATTGGACATTTAAAAATAAACACTATACATTAAGAGTTCTGCAACAAAGTGAACTTTAATGAAATTTTTTTCTCAGTCTCAGAGCCTGAGTTCTCAGATCAAATACTGTATACAATGCAAGGCATGACTACAGTTGAAAGTATTTAGAAAAAATTAAAGAACTTAATTTCTACTTTATCTTTGGTCTACATTCATAAGATAGCTTGGTATATAATTTGTTGATAGAGCATTCTTCTTAAGCAGTGTGTGAAAGCTAAAAACAAAATGTGATAATTTTAGAAATAATAAAACAATGTTAATATTCACAAACCAGAGAGTACAGCTACTCACTGTATATGTTGACACATATTGAACAAATATTTGCCACAGATGGCTAAACATACAGGAACTGCTTCCTAGGTTTAAGAAAGGGTTGTTTCCTTCTCTGTTTTGTGTTTTTAATGATGGTGGTTAGGAATGTCATGGCAGGAAGAAAATGCTTTAGTGAAGCAGAGCAGTGGCACTCCTTATGTGTACATAGCATCTGAATGAAGGCTGTTGAACCAATGGAGAGTGGATGCAGACAGGAGGTCTTCTTAATGGAAGGAGAGCCAGGTATCATGTCAGCTTTAATCAAGATCATTGTGACCCATTCCCTGGGCAAAGTATTTTTCATACATATCCTACACAAACCTCTCAATAAGCCTTCAAGAAATAGGTAATATGCTTTTCATTTTAAAGATGAGGGAAAAGGTTGAGTCACTTGCACAAATGACTGTCAGACTAACTTCCTAACTTTAGAGTCAGAGCATTTTATGTCCTTGAGTTTGTATACCTTCATTACCTTCATGACATGCACACTATATCCTCTGCAAGAGAAGGGTGGGTGGTCTTTGTTGTTCACTTGAGTATCCTATGATAATTTAGCTTGTTTCATATTTGGTTTAAGTATGTTATTCTGAATAAGTAAAACATTGAGTTACTCTATAGCCAAACAATATGGAAAACTTTGAAATTGTTGTTTGACACTGGTGACCATGTCCTCTTTGTGTTCCATTATAAGAAATGTTGAAGGAGGAATGGAGGGGTTGAAGGGAGGGCTGAGCAAGGGTGAAAAATAAGAAACAAGAGAGATTATGTAAAGGTGCAAATTTCCAACGATGAATGTCATTATATTGTATACCTAAAATGTACCAGTGATTAGAATGAATAATCGATAATACAAAATAGGAAGAAAAGGTCCAAAGGGGTAGGGGTAGTGGGAGGGGTAGGAAAAAGGAAAGAAGGGAAAAAATGGAAATAAAGTCTTTGTAAATAGGGAAGGGTGGAGGGGGTGAAGGGAGGGCTAGGAATGGGGAAAAAATAAGAACCAAGATGCATTATGTAAAGGTACAATTCCCAATAAGAAATGTAATTGTGTTGTATACCTAAAATGTATCAATAAAAGAATTTTAAAAAAAAGAAATGTTGAAGAGCTAAGTATCATTTCTGGGTAGCATGATTGGGTAGCATAAGAAACAATGCCATGTAGGCAGTTTAATGGACAGTTCCCATGCATTCTCACTAGAGTCAGATGATTAGTTGGTACTGTCTGGGCATGGTGGCTCTTTTTAAATAATTGTAAGCTCTTTTGAATCTGCCCCAAAAATGCCTAGTTCACGTGGCAGCCAGAGATATGAATAGAATTTATCCACAATATTTGATTATTCCACAATAAGATTCCCTCCTTTGTGGCAGTCACTTTTCACTTTCCAGCTGCAATGTGGTTACTTCTGTCTCTGTTCTGTACTTCTTCAATCCAGTAAGAATAGAGGTTTCTCTCCAGATTTTGTTACTCCACAACCCCAGGGCCTATCCTCATAATAAAAGCTATAAGAATAAGAAACTCACCCAGGTTCCCTGCCATTCCCTTCTTGTGTCAAACTTGTACCTCAGATGTCTACATTCTTCAGATACTCTTTGATACCCTTACGCAGGTTTATTTTGTTTATCCAGAGTTTATAGTTATTGGCGCTTATATGCTATGGAGGTGGGAAGGAGAAGAGGGTTAACTTTTCACTTTTAGAAGTGAAACTTTAAAGAGCTGTCTTTTTATGTTCAAATTGAAAACTCATTAACTTCTATGTTAAAATGAGACACACATGAAGTCAAAAATGTTTTGGCACTATGCTATCATGAAATCATTCTCTGTCTGGCTTGCTTATTACTAGTTTGCTAATGTTATTTTTTTCCACATAACCCTTTCCTCACTTTCAGTTAGTTAACAATGATTTATTAAGTCCTGGGTCAAAGGCACTATGCTGGATTCTCCATTTGTTGAAATCTTGATTCAAAATCCAAATCTAGTGTAATGATTCCAGGATTACTCTCTTTCCTCCTGCTAGATAGCTGTGATTTACATTCATCTGAATGTCTCTGATACTTTGTTCCTCCCTTGTCACGTTTTATTTATTAATATACTTTTCTCCCCACAACCACTGGTCTTGTGTTCCCTATTATAAACTTCACTATGGCAAGGGCAGATCTTAAGTTTGCATCTGTCCATGCTGCCTTAAGCATACTTTTAACCTTGAAAACTAAAAAGATAAATGAGTTTTTGTAGTAACAAAGAAAGAAAAAAATTGTAGGACATTAGCTTCTTGTTTCTGTTCTAAGTAGTAGAGTGAAAATCAGATAAGAAACATCTTTTGTTTCCAGAGAATAACTTAATAGAGTCTTCTCCCCTTCTCCTTCCTTCTCACTTAATTTTTTTCTCATTTAATCATAATTCAATCATCAAAAAAATTTTTTAAATAAAAGATGATTTATTTGAAGATAGGGAAAGCAAGAGAGAGAGAGACAGCATGTGTGAGCTACTCTGGACGAGTACAGAGTATTCAAACGGGAAATACTCCTCAGTCTTCAAATTTTTTGAATGCCTATTCTCATCTTTAAGAAATGTGAAAATACATGTGCTCACATGAAGCACTTTATGCTTTGTTATAGTTCAGTGAGAGAGCCTATATTTCACATTTGAAAATTTAGTGTCAAAACTCAAGTCAGAAGTCCAGTGATGTCCAGAAATGGAAGAACCCAAACACTTATTTCTTCCGTAATTTGTACAATACCGTAATAAATTTCATAGGTTGTGTAGTCAGTAACAATGGACATCCATAGGCGTTTTCTCTTTGACCCCTTGTAATAAATATAAAACGGAAATTATACAAATGAAGTTAAGTGAATTAAATTAATGTTCTTAATAATCCCACTTCTTTTTAGATTCGGGTCAGAAGACAGTTAGGAGGAGGAGATCTATCATAAACTGGGCCTTCTGGCGTGGTTCTAGCACTCACCTGGACAACTTGCCAGTGTCTCCAACATCTCCTATACCAGGACAGCTCTTTGGAGTTTCTCTGCAAGATATTTGTGAAAATGATAATCTGCCCAAGTCTGTCTTGGTAAGTCTCAGTTGGGCCTGAAACTAATGGGAAAGGAGAGATCTAGGAGGTGAGTCTGTCCCCAGATTGAAAAATTATAACACCCCTGGTGGTGGCTAAAAGTCTTTATCTCTTGGAGGGTCAGGGATTTAGCTGAGTGGGGCCACACCTTCTTCGCAAGTGCAGGGTCCTGAGTTGGATCCCTGGTACTGCACAAAACAAACAAGTCTTTATCTCTTTATATCTTCCTTTTCATTTACTAATAGCTAAATCAAAGTGTTTTTGAAGTAAGATAATCTAGTCTACTAGTTTCCAGAAAGCAATTTAAGCCTACTGAGATAAATTTCAATTTGCTTCACACACAGAGAATCCACATTATCCCTCACAAGTTGTTACTTTAAACTCCACATTGTTCTGAAAATCTTATTTTATCACTAAGGAGAGACTTCACAATCATACTTTTTAAAATTTTGAAAACTGGTTTTTCTTCAAATGTTTAAACATCAAGATATATTGTCTGGCATTTAACCATCTTTTATCTGTAGAATTGGTGAGATGAAAACCACTGAGTTTGCATTACCTCCAGTTGATACATAAATGATTACTCTTAAACAACATTGAGTATCCAGTAGCCTCCTCACAGTGTAATAGGTGTGTGGCACTTTATGTTTATTGTGCCTATGTAAGTGCCAGATACTAGTGTAGCCACTTTATTGTTTTATCAGTCCCAACAGATTTAGGGAGTAGTTGTCATTATCATCCTTACTTTACAAACTAAAAAACAAAAAGCCTTGGAACCTTAAAGATTACATAGTAAAAAAAAGTGGCATAATGGGCTTGCAGAGCTCATGGATTGGTTTCTCCAAAGTTCATTCTTCTCTTGTACTGCAGGGAGGACATAAAAATTAGAGAACACTTGGGCCAGGGATTTAGCTCAGTGGTTCCGCTGCCTGCCTTGCAAGCGCAGGGTCCCAAGTTCGATCCCCAGTACCAAAAAAAAGAAAAATTAGGTAACACTTAATCTATTGTCAGCAGTTTTCAAAAATATAATACATTAACTGTAGTCACCATGTTATAAAATACATCACCTGAAAATCTTCTATCTAACTAAAATTTGTATCCTTTGACCCGTATCTCCACCACCCAATCAGGCCCTCAAGCCCCTGGTAAACATCGTTGTATCTAAAAAAAAAAAAAAAAGAAGGTCTGGCTCCAGGGTTTCAGTGCTTTCACCCTGGCCTTTGGTAACCAAATAAAGCAAGTACCTATTCCTCTGTTTTTATATGTGAAGGGTCATTTTGTTTCTTTTTTCTGTTTTCCTATAGGATATGCTTTTCTTTCTTAATCAAAAAGGCCCCCTTACAAGGGGCATCTTCAGACAGTCAGCCAATGTGAAATCCTGCAGAGAGCTAAAAGAGAAACTGAATTCTGGAGTCGAAGTACACCTAGACTGTGAATCTATTTTTGTGATAGCATCTGTCTTAAAGGTAGGAAAAGCTCACCTTTTATCATCATGTAGTTCTGGAGCAGGATACATGGTTTGTTTCATTATGAACATTAATCTTATGTGCAGAGAATCATCATAGACTTAGAACCTAGAAAGTGTTAAAATATTTCACAAAGTCATCATTGGACTTTAAAAGCCAAGCCCCTGCCAATGATAAGACATGATAGGTAGGTTTTTTTCTTAACTTCTGCCGCCCCTTGCACAAAAGCATAATTTGAAGTTTAAAATAAGGTACTTGTAGCATGTTTTCCAAAACAAACATCCTGCTAATGGTGATTTCACTATCTCACTATGTTTCTAATGAAGGCAAAGTTTTTAAAAATGAACTTTTATTAAGCTACTGAAAATAGTTATAGAAGTTTATCATAATAACCATTTATTTGCCTTACAACTGAAACAAAAAAATTGCTGAGACCATTGAAAATTCCATTCATTTCTGTAATTATCATGCCCATAAATATTCCTTCCCCTCAATCCCTAATGCTTTCTATTTTAAAAGTGAAATAGGAATTACTCCAACATCTGGGCCTTCTTTTTTACCTTTCCTACATTTGGCATTCTTTATGGTTTTTTTTCTTTTTGGTACTGGGGATCGAACTCGGGACCTTGTGCTTGCATGTCAGGTGACAGAACCACTGAGGTAAATCCCCAGCCCTCTTTATGGTTTTTAACCTTCACGTATGTTTACATACGTCACATCTAAAATAGTTTCTTCCCCACATTCTTGGAAATGGCCTGTATTTTTTGAAAACTTCAAGTCAAAACCAGTTTTAAGCAGAGCTTTTGAACAAACAGTTACATCTGAAGACCTACCTCAGGCTCCTATCTCCAAAGGGTCAAATGCACTCCAGTAGGCTAGAGAAGGCTTCAGCCTGGGACATAAAAACTAAGTTAGGAAGACATGATCAAGAAGAGTTGCATATGCCTGTTCCAGCTGAGTACTCAGCTGCTTGTAGGATAAACTTTATGACTTTATGAAAAATCTGGTCTTTCTTGGTATTGGGCCATATCGGCTCTCAAACCATGCTGTAGACTCTTAGAATAAAATATCACTCAAGAATACTGGAGCTAGAGTCATGTACTCTATTTTCTACAGGATTTTGATTACTCTTCAATCTTGGTGTGCAATAAAAATATGACAAGTATATATGTACCATGAATTTTTTTTCTCACATTATTGGGTCTCTTGTCTCTTAATTTAGGAAGGTAAAGCTTGTGTTTTAGAAAAATTTCCTTATTATTCTATTTTTCACAACACCACAGATCTTAAAAATTCATGTTATAGGGCCGGGGATTTAGCTCAGTGGTGCCACCGCCTGCCTCACAAGTGCAAGGTCCTGAGTTCGATCCCCAGTACCAAAAAAAAAAAACATATTAAATTGCTGAGAGTATTACAAGGGAGTATGGTTCTAGAAGAGCTAAGTTGTGTTTCAAACTAATTTTGTATATTCAAAGACAAGACCAAAAAAACACGGCAAATGATTCAGTAAATTACTTAAATGGGTTTTAGATAACTGAAATTTTATCATTGTGTAACTATTATACTCCTCTTTCAAGTGATTTCAAAAGATAATTTTTGCCAAAAGCTTGGGCTTTTTTTTTTTCAGTTGATTCATCTTTCTTGTTTTTAATGCTGTTTTGAGGGGGTACTGACTTTCTCCTTTAATTTTTCTTTTATACTGGTTTTACTTAAATACAAGCTTAACTCTTCATTCTATAATTGAACCAAAATTACCTGAGGTGCCAAAACTTTGAGGAAGTTTATTTTAATCCACAGCATCTTGGATGAATTGGAGAGTCCTCATGACCAGGGCTCTGGTATAGAAAGTGAGGAGAATTTCAGTTGACTACTGCAAGCCAGTATTTGTAATTCAGAACCTGCTCTCATATATTTCTCAGCTGTGATGGTGGTTGTATTTCATAACGTGTTATTCCAGCTGTGGGAGAGTTCATTGAGATGTTACAAGTTATTATCTTTCAAGTGTAGGTTTGAGATTTAATGATGTTTTTCTTCAAGACAGATCATGGCGTGTTTTCCACTGAGATTTTTTTAAAAGACCTAGTGTCACTATCCCAATTTAAAATAACAGATTTTGCCTCCTAAATTTGACTTGTAAAGTAGGTGCAGCATCTAAAATTAGTTTGAAAGTATGAGAACTCAGTAGCTTTCCCAAAAAGAGGTGATTTTTGTGATGATGTATCTGAACCACAAGTAACTAGGTACATCTCTACTGGAATACTTAATAAAGAGACTTGGAATCAGTCCATCTCATACTTAATAACTGCTCTTAAAAAGTACAGTAATAGAATGTCATGAGTACAAACAAGTTCTTAAACTTATTTTACCATCTCAGTTGTACTGTATTTGATTAGCCATTCCTTGTACCCCTTTAATATTTGACCCTATGAGACATTATAATAGTCCACTAATGGCCTGTGGTATAGCTGGGGCTGTGCTTGACATTTATATTTAAAGAAGGTGAGGGTTTGTCCCTGCCTTGAAAGAGCTTGTATACAGTGAGGGAGATGCCTGCACAATTGACTATCTATAACAGTACATTATCCCAGCTTCCATGTTAGTAATAAACATGATATACAGGTAACAAGCTTCCATAAGACACATAGATAAAATCATTGATTTGGGGGCCAGGGATTTAGCTCAGTGGTGCTGCCGCCTCCCTCACAAGCATGAGGTCCCGAGATTGATCCCCAGTACCAAAAAGAAAAATGGTTGATTTGGTTTTTTGGCAAGAGTATTTTAGATTTTCACCTGTAAACAAGAATTTGCAAGAGGATAGCCAACCATGGGTATAATGCTTAAACATTAATTTGAGTTCTCTCTGCCTAAAGTTTACTGAAGTAGAGATCAAATTGCATACTTGGCTTTCTAGGTGCTATTCCAAAAGCAACAGAGATTTGGCCTCAAACCAAGCCTCTAAGACCAAATTTAGTTTACTTTTAAGCTTTATATCAACAAAGGCCAAACAACAGACACCCCTGGTTATGGTCTGTTTATGTTACTGTGTGGATTTATCACACCAAGTCCCACTCAGTGTTCTCAGAGAATGGATCTCCAGAAAGAACAGTGGACTTAGACATGTACATTAGGCATTGTGGTGCTGCTCTAAGTTTCCAGATCTTAGCCAACACTTAGAATGATTTCTCCCACAAAATACATCCAAACCCTTCTATGGGGGAACACAGGGAAAAATCCTTAAGTACCTTGATGCAGTAATATAGCAATACCACTGGAATATGATATTCTCAGATAACCAAGACTTTGCATTTTTTCAAATGTGCCAGGCAGTTTGTTTGGGATAAAGAAGTGAACAAAACTTGGAAGGATTGAATGGTTACCACAGTGTGAACCTCACAGGCATCTTGATTCATTTCCTTGAACTTGCTATTTAAGTAAAAGGGGGGGGGGGAATATTTAGGATGGTACTGCCAGATCCTGTCATGCTATTCTAATACAAAATATATATAAACAGGATTTTTCAGCCCAGCAAGTTGTCCTTTATTTTTCTCACCATAATCCAGACTTAAACTATCCGAATGGTTTTTTTGTTAGGAAAAAAAAATCAAAGCATGTGATTCTATGTGGAACAAGTCAGTGGAGAGCTGGCACAGCCTGTGCACTTTAAAGAAGCAAGATTTTTCAACAAAATACTAATTTCTCTGATACGTATTTTATATGAGAATAATCATTTAAAATATTTGTTTTTTTTATCTATGTAAGGACTTTCTTCGAAATATTCCAGGAAGTATTTTTTTATCAGATATCTATGATCAGTGGGTCTGTTTAATGGATCAAGGAAATGATGAAGAGAAAATAAATACAATTCAAAGGTAATTATTCTAATTTGGTCATATCTCAAAAATACTTAACGTTTTATAACCTTGCCTATTAAAATACTGCAAAGTGATATTTTAAGACACATTTTTGCTGCTGTTTTTCTCTAATCTCATTAATATGGAAGACCTGAACGTTGTACACCTTCTACATATTCGAATCTGAAGAAATAAAATCCGTTAGTCCATTAATTAATACTATATATACAGTTTATGGACTTAATCTAGGGAAATATTTAACCACACAACCCCTTATATGTTTCATTCACCGAGTGAAGTCATGCACAGAAAATGACCTATTCCTCCAGGAATTCACAGTCCAGTAGAGTAGTTAAATAAACTGAGAGTGACAACTACAACACAGTATAATTAGTACTTTAAAAGATATTTGGAGGGTGCTGTGGAAGCATAGCAGAGAAATAGTTAACTCTTGGAGAAATGTCATAAAGGGAGTTGCACAGTCAGTCTGCTTGTAAAGAACCCAGTGTCTAAACTCACAGGGGAAAGTTTCTAGTAGAACTTACTACCCCCACATTCCTAAATATTTTTTACAATATACGAGAATAAGAAGGCAAAGGGCAATACTCCAGGTCTATGAAAACCCAAAAATCCCATTTGTTTATTTGCATGTATTTTTTTAGTGTTTTCCTCTAGCAGTATTTAAATATTATCTACACACTGCTACTGATAGATATTTTTTAATCAATATGACATTATATAGCTATTGAAGACACCGGAATCCAAAGTCATGTAACAAAATACTACACCTGCTTCTATTTTATAGCTTAGTGTAAACCATTCAGATAGTAGCATTAAATTCTGTACTGTGTTGCTCATTGACCGAAACATTTCATTAGTGACCATGAAAGATTTAAATCATTAATTAAAGAACCAGTAAGATGCTACAGTCAGTTCAAAGGAGATTTCAGAGTACCATAGCTTATAATAGATGAATCAGAAATGCTGAAATGAATTTATAAGTAGATACAAAACTGGCTTTTTTTTTTTAAACCAGGACAAGGGTGCATACCAATTATCTCTCTGCCAGATAGAATTTAATTCTATAGAGAAGTATTAGATGCACTACTCTCAGTTATCTATGACTTACAGAGTTGTAAACTAGGTCATAGGCTTAGGGCTCTCCTAGAATTAGATAACCCAAAAGCATATGCTAGATTGAACTCATTCAATCTTTTGGTCCTTTTCAGAGTCTTTTGTAATTCAGCCCTATCAACTGTCCTTATTGTCAGTCCATTTTACTGAAAAAAGGCCTCTGATACTTATGTATCAGGAGTTAGACTGTTTTATTTCCCTAGGGTTGCAAATTCACACCCAAAAAAAAGCAAGTCGTGAATATCAGCGTTTATATTTCATATGTTTTCTGAACAATAGTAAAAATTATTTTCAGTGAATGATCATTTGAAAAATCTTTTATCATTATGTACTAGTAGCAGTAGAAAATATATTATTGTAAACTTGACTTCTATGTGAAAATGATACCAGTGAACAGAGATTTGGAACAAAATTGATATTAGAAGGTGGTAGAGCAGAGCACAAGGTCTCAGAATGACCTGGAAGTCTTAATTACTGAAGTTTGGGTTCTCATCAAGAGACAGCAATCTTGTGTTGCTACATGGAAACAAAAGAGCATTTTAATCTTATAAGAAACAATTTGGGGGGTTTTATTGAATATTACAGAATTTGCCTAAATTAAAGCATATGGTACTAGCTTCAGGGAATATTTCAGGCAGCATTTTTATGAGACATTTTTCTGCATTCTTTTACATTAAGTTATAAAAATAATTCCTAATGCTTATTTTCTTTCTGTATAAGCACTGTCATTTTGCATGGTACCATATTAACTGAAATTCTTGCATATCTGAACTGTGTTCTTGATTTGCCCTTTTGATTTGCATGGTTCTCTATGCAAAGTGAAGAGTATCTAATTTTTAGTGAAATGTCTTGCTTAAAGAGCACATTTTTCTGTCTTTAGACTATTGGACCAGCTTCCGAGAGCCAATATCATTCTCCTGAGATATCTGTTTGGGGTGTTATACAACATTGAGAAAAATTCCTCTACCAATCAGATGAATGCATTTAACTTGGCAGTATGTGTCACTCCAAGCCTTATTTGGCCTCCTACTTCCTCCAGCCCAGAATTAGAACATGAATTTACAAAGAAGGTAATGACTTTTTTCATTTTTTATGCCCTTGGTGACTAAGAACCCATTTTGGAACTGAAAATAAAAGTATTCTGAAAGACGGTTTCATATAGATAACTATTCCTCTCTATAAAATTGAGCTTACTGGGCTGGGGATTTAGCTCAGTGGCACCGTGCCTACCTCACAAGTGCAAGGTCCTGAATTCGATCTCTGGTACCAAAAAAAAAAAAAAAATGAGCTTACTGACTATGGAGTATTCTTTCTTATCCTGTAGACTATAGGAAGGTATAGAATATAAGCAGAAAAGTAACAGTTATTTTTCTTTTCCCAATAGGATTGACTCAAATCATAGACTGACAAGAAAGCAGTTTTTAAAAAATAAATAAACTCTAGGGGCCGGGGATTTAGCTCAGTGGTTCCAATGCCTGCCTCACAAGCGCAAGGTCCTGAGTTCGATCCCTGGTACGAAAACTAAATAAACAAACAAACTTTAAGAGTTAAGTCAAAGTTCAATTCTCAACCCCCCATTTGCCAAATGTACAATCCTGGGTGAAGTTAGTTACACTGACTTACAGAGTTCTTGTCTTTAAAAATGGAACTGGTAATGACGCAGTAGTTACTTGAAATCACACCCTTACAGTGCCCATCTGTTAAGGCATTTGGAAATACACTTCCCTTTGCTTCCCACATTTCTTCTGCCCCTTGGCTTCAGCTGCAGGAGCAAGGAAACTACAGAGAGGTTCTAGTACATCTCCATGGAGGCACAAAGCTCCCTAGTAAACTCTTTCCTCTTTCCTCAAGTACATCCAGTTAGGGAATATAACCTTAGGCAATGCATGAGTTAAAAACTAATCAGAAAAATACATTTGCTTTCTAGCTGTTGCTCTCTTTCATAGTACAGCCATGGAGAGAGCCCTCTTACCAAGCTTATAGTAACCTGCCCCTTACATAGAAATATTTTCCATAAGCATTACCTGTTGATACTTTATAAATTTTAATAACAGAGTATATTTCTTCACCCCAAAAATGTGGAGAAATTACTTTGAAATTACTCTAACTTTAAAGACAGGGCCATTGGTATAAAGTATTAGCAGTAAGCCAAGGCTCCAAAGAACTTGAGTTCACTGATTCAGGAGTAGATTAGAGCCGGGAATGGTGATACAAGCCTATAATCCCAGCACTTGGGAGGCTGAGGTAGTAGGATTGCAAGTTCAAAAATAAGAGTAATTTGGGCATAGAAAAGTAAAGTATCATAGTGTTTTAGAGGTACATTTTGTATACTTTTAAAGTACACAAAATATATTTTTATATACTTTCGAAATATTTTTCCTGAGGATTTTTGCTTTTTGTTCAAAAATCAGTATTCATATATGAAATGTAGTGTGAACTAGAAAGAAAAAGTCCAGAGGGGAAGTGGAGTGGAGAAGGGGAAAGCAAAGAAGGGAAACAAAAAATATGAGAAAAGAAGGAAAAAACAGAAACAAACTTTTTTGTATTTAGGGAGGGGTGGAAGAGACAGAAGAGGAATGGGGAAAAAACAAGAACCAAGATATAGCACGTAAAGGTACAAATTCCTAATGATGAATGTGATCATAATGTATACCTAAAATGTACCAATAAACTTAATAAATAAAAAAATGTTATATGAAAATTAGCACTTTAATTTTGTCTTTGTATAGGTTTCCCTGCTTATACAATTTCTGATTGAAAATTGCTGTAGGATATTTGGACATGAAATCACGTCTCTCTTTGGAGAGGTTTCATTGAGATGTGACACTAAAGAGAATTCCTCAGGTATTGTGAAGAAGTCGATTGATTTTTTAATTGATATGTGTTTATAGTACATGAAGTTTACATTTCATTTTTAAGGAGTAGGTGCATATACATAGCACAACTTGATATATCTCCTTCCCCTTCCCTCCCATCTGCTTCCATCTATAAATCCTCTTTCCCCATTTTCATTCTTAATATTTTTAGTCCATGTTTATGACATAATATTCATTGTGGGTATTTGATACATGTACATAACACATCTTAAATTTTTTTACCCTCTCTCTCCCCCATTCTCCCCCCTTGGTCTCCTGGATCCCTTCCCATTTGCTGCAGATCTCCTTGTTTCCTTCTATCAGTACCCTATTTTGCTCCTTATTTGTACTTTGCCTTACTCAAATGAGAGCTACCATATTGTATTTAAGCTTGTGTGTCTGAATTATTTCACTTAATACTATATTTTCAAAGTGTATCCATTTTCCTGCAAATGTCTCAGATTTATCCTTTATAGCCCAGTAGTATTCCTTTATGTCTAGATACATTTTCTTTATCCATTCGTCTATTGATGGGCAAACAGGCTGCTTCCAAGATTTAGTTATTATGAATCATGCTGCTACACACATTAGTATGCATGTATCACAGTACTATTATGTCTTTAGCTATTTGGGGAAGATACCTAGAAGAGGAATAACTGAGTCAAATGGGATTTCTAATTTTAGTTGAGAAATTGTTTTGTAATAAATAGAAGCATGTCTGCTACTATGCCAGGACAGTGGTTGTCAGAGAGCCCATAACTGCTGAAGTGAAGGGAGCTTCCAACATGTGTCAGGGGGACCCAGACATTTCATTTCTTCCTTAGAAGGCCTGCTAATAGCTCAGGGCATATTAATAGTGCAGTGAGGCTAACAAATGTGTAAGATGAGGTCCCAGCCTTCAAGAAGTTGTTAGTATGCTTTATTATGGTATGATAGTGTTTAAACTTTCTTTTAAATAAAACTTTGTGAGGAGTACTAATATATATAGTAGACTGCAGTCATTGATAATGGAGTAGAGGGCACGAGCAGTAGAAGCAGACCTGTTTTCTTGCTCCCAGTAGACACTAAGACATCTAAGAATTGTAGTGTACTATGAAACAGCTTGAAAACAACTAGCGCTATGTGGGGGGTGGGGTATACACTCTGAATTCAAAGACATAGCCTTTACACTCTAAATTTTTGTACCATCGATTACTAGTTATATCATCTTCGGCCAATTATTCTGTAGTTCTGAATATCTTTGTCTATAAAGCATAGATAATAATTTTTAATGGTTATTGTAGACTAAATAAGGAAATAAACAATGCTAAAGTACTTTGTTAAAGAGAAATTGACAGGGTTAGTTTCCCCAAGACTTGAGTGGATTATGTACTCAACCAGTAATCCATATTAGAAGACAGTCTTATTCAAAGTTATACCTGACATTAATTTCTTTGTATTTCACACCATTTCTTGATCTTATGGTATGTTTGTTGCTTTGAGAAAATCTTACCTACAAAAAGCCCACTTCATTAGGAATTGAGATAAATCCATTATACTCCAACAGATTTCTTTTTTTATGTACCAACAGTTGGAAAGACTGCAAAAGATTCTTTCCTTCTGGAGAGTGGGTATTCAAACCCTACATGAAAGGAGCAGTAAACTAAACGTACTTTGTTTGCAGGCAGCATTTGCTATATTTGTAGTAAGTAAAAGTGTTAATTGTGGTTTAATTTTTTCTTGACAGACACCTCTTGTGTCCAATTGAATGACTCATCCTATGACAGCTTGGAAAATGAGCTAAATGAGGATGTTGATGCTCCATGTAGTGACTTGGTAAAGAAACTCGGCCAGGGTAGCAGAAGCATGGACTCTGTCTTAACTCTCAGTGACTATGACATTGACCAGCCTGAGGTGGAAGGTCTTTTAACCCTGAGTGATTTTGACTTAGACCACTCTACAGATCAAGACATTCATATGAAACAGCCTCCAGGGTCCAAGCTGGTGAATGTTTCAGTAATGAACAGAAAGGCCTCCCTGGGGGAGCATGCAGGGGCCTCATCCAGCACATGTACACCCAGCTACCTGTCCACAGCTGCAGCAGATGTTCCAAAAAGCCTGCGGCGACACAGGCGCTGCTCAGAGCCCAGCATCGACTATCGGGATTCTAAGGTTTCCTATCTCAGGGAGTTTCACCAGAAAAAGCTACGCAAGTCCAGCTGTGATGGAATACTCTCCCAAAAAGATAAGGACAGTCTGAAGCAAAATCAGACCCTCACAAAAGAGGGTAAGATACCTTTAGAACAGAATTTAGTCACAGGTACTGATATCAGCAGGAAAAACACCACTAGTAAAAACATTAAGAAGAAAAGCTTGTCAGGTAATGAAGGAAATCATGTGAAACTTTTCACTAATTCCAAGCCAGTGGCCATTTCTGTAGCATCTTATAGTCATATGTCTCCCCAAGATCATTCCGGGAACCAACATTCTGATGCAAATACATCTGGATACTCCCCATCACACACAGCAGATACACTCAAGAGTTCAAGGACACATCGGCGCTGCTCAGAACCCAACATAGATGACCAGAACTGCAAACTGACCTATCTCAGGGGGATTTATTCAAAGAAACAACATAAAATCAGCTGTGAAGCTGCTCTCTTGCAGGGAGAGGAGGATTATCTCAGACGGCATAAGTCTTTGCAAATGGAGGGGCAAAAACTTATTAATCAGAGTTTGGTCATGGGGATTGAAGTGAGCAAAAGTAGTGCCACCAACCAAAGCACTGAAAAAGTTTTACCCCCAAGATTAAACCTGTGTCCAAGTACTAGCTCTTCCAGCTTATCTTCCCCAAGCACTTCGCCATCTGGCTCATCTGTGAGCTCCCAGGACAGTGCTTTTTCTCAGATTTCTGAACATTCCATGTTTACACCCACAGAAACTTCTTCTCCAATAGATTGCACTTTTCAGGCTCGGAAAAAAGAAGAAAACCTTTCCTCTAATGTTAGCACTTCCAGCCTCTATTCTAAAATGCCTGGTCCCTCAGTAGGGCAGGCCAGTAGTCATCTGGCTTACACAAAAAAGGACACTGTGGAGTGGCATTTACAAATGCATTCTGGAACTCTTCACCCCAGCACGTGGTTAAAAAATAGTGTGGCCAGTTTGAAAAACTGGTCTCTGAAGAAGAAAGCAAAAGTAGCCAGACCAGAGGAAAAGAAAATAAATTCTCTCAAAGGACCTTATGCTTCTGATGTTCCAAAAGCCAATTCACTGCAGGAGTTTCAGAAAGACCTACCCCAAAGGGCAGCTGACGGACTTGGAGCCATGCAGACAGCCCAGCTATGTAGTTCTGCTTCCTGTCAGGACTCAGAGAAACACTGTAGCTCTCCATTCAGCCTAGTGGAGAGCAGACTCAAGCTTTCCGTGAAGTCCTACAAGGGAGAAGAAACTGAAGGGCAGTGCTGTTCTGGTCCTCTGCGTTGGGAAAAAGCCTCATCTAGCTCTGGGACTATAAATGATGTGGCCAGCCCAGATGGAGGGCCTACAGTGGTTTCTGATGGTGAGGATAAACCTTTAACCAAAGACATTTAACCACAGTAAGAATCTACTGTCTACAACAATGGGAACTGGGCTGATAACACAAAACCAATAATTTTGACCCCTTTTTAAAATAAGATACTTGGGAGATGTAGCCTAAGGATAATCTTGCTCATACTTAGGACAAAAACATTCTCTTTACTGAGACTACTTCATAAAGACTTTATGTGAAAAATAATCACCTAAGTTTAGGAAGATTTTGCTTATTAAAGCATGGGATTGGTACTGCCCTGAGACTTTAGAGATACTAGTAGAGGACTAGAGAGAGCATCTTCCATTGAAGAGGCTTGCTTATGTCAACTGTCAGTGACATCAGGGTCTTGAGAAGGCCACACTATCATAAATGAATCAGGAACAGAAAGGGGGGCACTACAGAGAAATCACCCACATTTATTTCACGGAATGCTTTTAGTAATCAAGTGAGGAAAATACCATTAATCAAAATATTTAAAATGTGTATAGTTATGACGAAAATCACGTAAAAACTTCCTGAATCCAAGCCAACAGCCATTTCTGTGGCATCTTCTAGTCACATATCCTCCCAGGATCATTCTAGGAACTAGCACATTGGTGTAGCTAATGTACAGAAAATGAGAAAGATTCAAGAGTATCATTTTGGGACAAAACTATGGAAATTTTTCTGGAGGAAACCCCAAAGCCAGTGACCAGTGATGTCATGTCAGAGATACCATGACATCATAGTTCTTTTGTTGGTTGTGTTGCTTAATTTGTTTTTTCTTTAGTGTTACTTTGAAAAGGCTCCAAGAAATAGCTGTGATAAGAAAGAAAGCAATGTTCGCTCATTTTAATTCCCTTTTCAAAGGGTCCTATGCTAGGAACATGCTTTAGAAATGCAACTTTTCTTATTTAAAAGTGACCCATTTCCAACACATTTGCTATCAGTGTAGAGGAAAAAATTCCAACAGTCCATTCTCAGTTACGTGAATAGTGTTATCAACATGTGATCAAAGCATGGAATCTCTTTGCTGAAATATTTCTCTATAGCCCTCCCTCAGATTAAAAGGTATGATTTTAAAATGCAATGAATGATTAAATTTTTAATTTTATTACAGTAAGTGACTGTCATTTATCTCCCTCAAAGTACTCCTATTCACTTTGGTACCAGGGATCAAACCTGGGACTTTGCACTTGTGAGGCAGGTGGCAGCACCACTGAGCCAAAGCCCCAGCCCTCCTATGCACTTGCAACACGCTTACCACATCATTGTTGCCACTTTCTGAAGTAATTCTGTACATCGTCTTTTGTGAATGTCTTAGTTGCACTGTTGTACCTTAGTGTCCTGAATCAATTCAAAATATTGACCTTTCATGGTCATGTTGACTTTGGGAAAGAGCCAGAAGTTGCACAGTGCCAGACCTGGTAAATAAAGTGTATGGGGAGAACCTGTAATATAAGCTTGCTATTTGTTTGGATGGCACTCACATGATATTTTTTATCACATGAATTTCCAGAACTGCTTCAGAAAGTGACAAGAATGATGGGATAAGCATGTTGGAAGTGTAGGGGAGTTTTTTGAGGGGGATTAATGGCAATATGTCTTACTCTAATGAATTTTGAAAATGTTCACTATTTTAATCGTACCTCATACAGAGAGCCACAAAAAACTACTTATAAGTCACCCTTTTTCTAATTTTATAAATTGACAATTGAGAGAGCAGATTAGAGGTTGGTGGGTTACAAGGAGTCAAGAGTGCTCAACAAAGTAGTTGCCAGACCTCAGATGAGTTACTGACTTTGGATTTTCTTACTTCCAGAAATGTTTCCCAAATGACTCATAGTTGATAGAATGTTTAGACCCCTTTAGTTTATTTTATATACATGGATCTTTCTCCTCTCTCTTGCCTTAAAGGTTACAGTACATCTCCTCACCTAGGAATAAATTCTCAGGCCTTGCCAACCAGTACAGAAGGATAGCACTAAAAACAGATGTTTATCTTCATTTAACTATTCACTGGAAAGAAATTGTTTAGAGCCATGTGGTCTCTATAGTCTACCATCAAATTGATCTTTGTCCCACTGGCTTTTTTCAGATTATTTTTATCAATCATCAAGAAGCTTATAGCAGATATTCTTCCCTTGTCCTAAAGGTTTGGGGATTAAAAATTAATGTTTTCTCTAACAAGTTATTTCACTATTAGCTGTAGGTGCTACCTACCTCTTGGAGACATGGCCGTGTTTGCCCTAATCACTATATTAACTTTTAGAATTCTGTGTCCAAAAAACTCTATGACACTGGCCATCTCAGGCACAGATGTGTGATAAAAAGATGTTAGTTCATAACTACCCCTATATTTAGGCTTCTAAGTGTCCATACACATCTTTCGTGGTATAATACATGAAGTCAGCAGGGACTCCCCTTACCCTGAGGGCATACTACTGTCAGGACTGCAAGATGTGAATGAAGCTCTTAGGGCTTGGAGTATACTTCTGGAAAAAATTACTCAACTACTTGCAAAAATAATAGTTTAGCCTTTTTTCCTTTCATAATAACAGGTAGAAAATCATCCAACCCAGTTTGAAGCATAGAAGAAAATAGTTACTGTACTAAGGTTCTTTAATAACCATTCCCACTCCCTCTGTTCCCTTAGATACTTCTATAATAATGTGAATAGTTTAATATTGCTGTAAAGTATTATATTGTATTATTTGAAGACAGACTACATGTCATTTTATTATACTCCATCAATCTATAATATATTAGACCAATGCTTTATCTAAAATGCTTTGAGTTTGTATAATATATCAGGACAAATTTTATTACCATATGTTATGTAATAAATGTGTATTTTTGTACTTGCAGAAACTGCTGCTAACTTTTAAAGTTGTTTCATTTTCAAGGCACTGATAATGGATATGCATGAAGTCCATGCTGTCTGTTAAATAAAATACCATTCTGCAGAGTTAACACTCACACCAGAGCATTGTTGACTTTGAAGAGTTGTTTCAGTGAGCCCAGTCTCTGCTTCACATTCGAAATTTCAATAGTATAATTTCAGAGTATAATTAATGCTGAGTTGAAGCTTTGAGATTTTAGTCATAGTCCTTCTAGAAAGAATAGGTTTCCTTTTTTAAAATCTTACTTATCAAACAAAGCATGTGTTAGATACACAATCTTCATTTATTTCCAGGACTGTTTTCATTGTGCTCCCAAAATGACATATAGTCTATCTTCTTATATCAGAACCACCATTAGCTCAGTTTAATTGATTATGGGATTTTCTTTTTTTTTTCGTTAAGTTTATTGGTACATTTTAGGTGTACAATACAGTTACATTCATCATTGGGATCTTGTACCTTTACATGATGTATCTTGGTTCTTATTTTTTCCCCATTCCCCTGCCCTCCCATAATTGATTATGGGATTTTCTTAATGAAGTTTGGACCATTCTGACCAGAGTACCCAGTTGACCTTAGATACACACCAAAATATCAGTGCTTTTCAGTTCAGACAAGTTTCTCATGACCGTTGCATCTTTGCCTCTCAAAGTTCACTGAGGTCTGGTTTATAAATTTAACCACCATTTCAAAAGTATTCAAAAAAGAGTACTGCCTTATTCTAAAAAAAAAAAATTTGCTCAGGCTGGGTATAAGAACCACAAGTCTACTTTTATAAATTTTACTAGTTATATTTAAGCATACACTGATGTTAATTTCTATCTAAACTTCACAAAAGTCCAATTTGCTTTTATAAAAAGATTCTTAATCTGATATTAGATTAAGAAATTATGTTTTTCTACTTTTTAAGGCAAAATATTTACTCAGGACCTAATGTATCCTTGACCCAAAGGCATATTTTTTCTGTTGAAAACAAATGCTAAGAATATCACATATCTTCATCTAAATTCTGTTGATAAGTGTTTAGCTCCTGTGTTCCTAACAAGTTCTAAGGATTTGAGAAGTTATTTTCCAAACTGCCTATTTTAATGCAAAGAAAAATTCATTAGCAAAGTACTCTTAGAAAATATGTTCTAAAAAAAAAAAGTTCTGTTCCTGTAGTAGCTTTAGGTAAAATGTTCACTTTCTTTAATATCTACTCTGGCTATGAAAATTTCTCATAAGCGGAAAACTGAAAGGAAAAGAACTTGAGTTCTGTGCTGCCTGCCCTGAGTGAATCATTTTTGTGAACCACCTTCATGGTTCAGTTTTTGTTTTGTTTTAAACACTGTGAACTCCTTGAGCTTCAGCTTTGCATAACATCAGATGTTTTGGTAAAACTGGCAGAAGGCTTTAGAGTGTAATTTAGAAAATTACGTTTTGATTTCCCAAAGAAATATAGTTGATGGAATTGGATATTACTCTTTAGTTTGTGTCCACATTGAGCAGCAACAGAACACATGACATTTTTAGGTAGTTCATAGTGTTTACCTAATATATTTTTGCTTGTAAATAGGCAAAGTAGATAGGTTTTCTAGAGTTAATCTTTCGTGATGCTGTAAGGTGCAGCTTTTGTAGATAATAAGATTTAAATGCTAATTGTTTCGGGGGGGGGTGTTGTTTTTATTGTACTGGGGATCGAATTCAGGACCTTGCTCTTGCGATGCAGGCACAGTGCCGCTGAGCTAAATCCCTACCCCTGTTTTTATCTAGTTTTGATTTTAGATCACAGTAACTTGGAATTAAATTTAGAATTCTGTTCTCATGATTTGCTTTGAGAAGTGAATAAATTGGCTAAAAACTTGTGAAGTCATCCCACTACTCTGAGCAAATAAAATGGGTGCTATAAAGAAAGATCTTTTCTGCCAGATCACAGGAGCTATGGCTGCCACTGCCTAAAATTTTCCAGAAGAAATATTCTATATCTTTGCCCAAGAGTAGAATGATTGAGTAGCGTAGAATCACTGAAATTCATGAACATGGAGAAGCTTATTGCTGAGTGGCATAGCAAATAAGTAGGAAGGGAAGAAAGCCTTAGGTGAACTAATTCAAGTAAGAAACTGAAACACAGAAGGCTCAATAACAACAAAAAAAGTGAAAAGGAGCATAGCTGGAGAAAATGGAAGTGCTCTTGAGGTAGTTAATTTTTTATTGCTAGATATTCTTGCCCCTGACACATTCATGTCAAACTTCTGGCTTTCCGGGGCCACACTAAGTAAAGAGGAATTGTCTGTTCAGTAGCAAACACCTGCCTTCACAAGCACATGTATGTGTATGTAGGTTGAAATACTGTTATCAGTAATCACTGCATTTTACTCAGCAAGTTGCACAAGCATATGTAGCATCTGATATACACAAGTTTCAACTGGACTGTGACAGGTACAGGAGACAGAGTTACCACTACACTGTGCCCTCCACTACATAGTGCTTATATTATCACCTACTCACTCCATGTTGGAATGCCACACAATTGGAGTCATAAATAACATTGTCAAAAATCACATCATGATGTTAAAAGTGGAGATGTGATACTAGCTGTCCAGGGCTGCATGAAGCCCACCAAGATTAGAAACAAATTACATCTGTCCTCAGGGGCCTTGAACGAACTTAGGGGAAGATTGAGCTGAGTAAAAAGTGAATATTGGGTCAGGGATTTAGCTCAGTGATGCTGCCGCCTGCCTCGAAAGCACAAGGTCCCAAGTTTGATCCCTGGTACAAAAAAAAAAAGGTGAATACTATCATTTATTGGGCACTTACTGTTGCCTGGATGTGTTGGTGATAAATGCATTTTATGTACTTTTATGTAATGCTAATAATAGCCCGTTTGGTGCATACGTTCAGCTAGAACCTCACTTTGACCCCATGCTTTCCCCTCCCAGAACATTCACTTTAAAATAGAGATCATAATTTTTAATAATAAAGCAGACACAATTATACACCTAAGAACTAGTCCAAGCTTTACTAAATTATTTTATCTAAACTAGAAATCTCTAATTTAAGAAAATCAGTATCAGAAAAAATATTTTAAAAGCAATGATGAATGTAAACATAATTTGATCCAGACAAAATGGTATAGACATATGTATCTCCCTTCTCTCCACTAAGTCCAATTCTAAATGCTGGAAATAATGGAAGAGAGAGCCAAAAGAGAATGCTAAAAGGAAGTACAAATACAACTTGGTTAAGAACCCTCAGACTAGAGGGACAGCATAGTTTCAGAGCGTCTTATATCTGCTCACCCAAACCAGGATGGTGATCCAGGCCTGATCTTTCCTAACCTAGGAATAAAAAAGCAGCTCAGTTAAGTTCATTCTTCTCTGTGATAAACCAGAGACCTTCTGACCCCAATGGGTGACACAGACATAGCCAGCAAGAGGGACTGATAGGGGCCCCTCTAATACTGGCCACAGGCAGTATTTTCCAGATAGACCTAAGATTCTCAGATTGTCCAGACAATAACGGAGGAACTTAGCCACAACAAGCACCTCAGTCTGAGAAGCTACTTGGCCCCAGCACACCTACGACTAACCTCCCCTGTCAAAGACATGAAAGCCACCAAATGACATACACAGGAATCATTTTACCCATCCAGGGAAATGTCAGGTCTGCAGGACAAAGAGGCTTCCCTAGTTACAAATAGAGTATAATAACATCATAAGAGTTCCAAAAATTAAGGTCCCATTGGACCCACAGCCCCCAAACATAGGCCAGGACCTGAGTGTTACGCTAAACAAGGTAACTGCCTACTAAAATAGATTTAAATATGACTCAGTATGTTAGCATAATAATGTCCAGGATACAATTAAAAATCACCTATAGGGCTGGGGATTTAGCTCAGTGGTTCTGGTGCCTGCCTCACAAGCCCAAGGACCTGAGTTCTATCCCCAGTACCAAAAAAAAAAAGAAAGTAAAATCACCTATAATACCAAGAATAAGAAAAAACACAACTTCAATAAGAACTGAAATCAACACAGATAATTTTAAATCATCTTCAAAATGTCAAAAAAGATTGTCTTGAAACAAAAATATAAAAACTCAGCAAAGAAATAGAAATTATAAGACAGAACCAAAAGGAAATGAAATGAAAAAAATATAGTAATTTCTATGGGCTCAGTACCAGAGTGGAGATCATGGCAGAAATTAGTGAACCTGAGGATAGATTATTGTAATAGAATATGCTTACAATCTCAACAGAGAAAGCAGGCTGAAAAAGGCTCTGGGACCCGTAGAACAACAATAAAAGATCCAACATTCTATCTCAGGAAGGAGATAATAAGCAGCATTCAAGGAAATAATAGGTGAAAACTCCCCAGATTTGAAAAGACAAAAACCTACACATTCAGGAAATTGTGTGAAACCCAAACACATTTCAATAAAGATGTTCTCAGATGAAGGAAAGCTTGAAAGGACTTGTTACTAGGAGACATATCTGTAAAGATTGGCTAAGGGGAGTTCTTTAAATCACAATGTGAATGGTAAAAGGAAATTTGAAGCATCAGAAAAAGAAATGATGAAGGAAAGCAGAAATAAAGGTATGTATGACACAGTCCTCATGAGTTTTATAGGCTAAGTCATTTTCTCATTCCTGGGACACAATACCCAACACCCACGATTTCAAGGAAGAGTTTGGGCTCAGTTTTTAGAAGTCTCACTCCAAGGTCAGTGAGCTCAAATGGAGAAATGGCATCATAGACGGGCCTGTTATAGAGGAAAGACATCAAGCAGAGAGTGAAAAGGCAGGACCCAAGGAAGGAGATACGCCCTTCCAGTTCACTGCCCTAGTGACTCACCTCTTCCAACCAGGCCCTCACCTAACAGCACATTTAGCTATAAACCAATCGGTGGGCCAGTCCACTGGTGAGTATAGTGCTCCCATGATACATCATTTTCTAAAAGCCCTACTTTGGAACACATGAGACTCTTGGAGGACATCTAGAGCTAAATCATAACAGGTTATATTTGATACTTGAAATAAAAATTACATCACCATTTGATATTCAAGACAATGATATGTAAAAGTAAAGATAAGAAGGATTC